GATTGGGGGGGGAAAGGGAGGGGGGGGGGGGGGGGGGGGGGGGGGGGGGTGGGGGGGGGGGGGGGGGGGGGGGGGAAAAAAATTTGGGGGGTGTCTGAAGACAGGTTACTAATGCTTGAAACGGGCACTCTAAATTTTTGCTAAAAAACGTGTTAGTCTGTTGGGGGAAAAGGGGGGCTTTTTTTTCCTATTCAGAAAAATTTAGTTGAAAATTTAGGGGTTTTTTGTTCGACCCACCATTTTGGCAGGGGTCAGCTTTCAAATCAGTTTTTTTAAAAATGGGGACGAAAAAAAATTGCAGTTTTAAATATTTCCCTGCGTTTTTTTTGAAAGTCAAAAGTTTTTTTTTTTTTAATAGAGTGTTGGGCTTGCAACATAGATTTTTTCACATAAAAACATTTGTGCGGGGTTCCCAATGTTTCATCGGGGCCCCCCCTTCCCCCATTGGGGGGAAAATCCGCGCCACTTTTTATATTTTATGGGGCACAAGACTGTCATGCACAAAACCCTTTTCACACCCCTCTTGTTGGTGGAACCCAATTTTTCATTTTTAAAGCTTATTTTCGCAATTCTACACTTTGTCATGGGGGTGCAAAAAAATGTTGCCGTTTTAAAAGGGGATTTTCTTGAATTCTATAAATTTTTCCATGTCTAATGTTATTTATGGATATTTGGATCAAAAATTTCAAAAATATCTATGGGGTAAAAAAAAATTTAAAAAAAGTTTGCTGACATGGCCTAGTTGATCTGGACTTTTTGAAAGTTAAAAAGCCCAAGGAAGCAATGATGAAGGACAAAAGGAACCCCATGATGCAATACCCCCAAATTTTGACTTGCACCTTTTGGGATTTAATATTACAAAATTTCAGGAGTAATTTTTAAAGCTGGACTGAGTTCCTTTTTAAAAATTAAAAAAATTGATTTTTTTTTTTTTGGGGGGGGCCCCCGCGGCCCCCTCCAACCCCCCGACCCCCCCCCCCCCCCCCCCCAAAAACGAGAAATCAGAGAAAAAAAATGCAACGATAGTTGGCTAGCAGCCCCACAAAAGAAATTTTGGCTTACAATAAAAGAGGGGAGGGTTTTTTGCAAAGACGATGCATGGCCCCCCTTTAGAGTTCTTAGTTTACCCTGAAAGAAAGTTGCCAGCTACATTTCCCAAAGTTTTTTTTGAGTTTAAACTTTAAACTTTTACTTGCCAAAAAAATAAAGAAAAAAAAACCTCAGTCAAAAAATGCCGTCTGTGATCAAAAAGCCATTTTTTGAATGCAGTCATTTTTATGGTCAAGACGAGAGCAAAGATTTATCATCCCAAAAAAACTTTAAATGAGGGAATTCAGGCAAGATAAAAATCAATAAGGAAGCAAGACTGAAGGCAAAAACTGATTAAAAACCCCATTAAAAGGAACTTTGGCCACTTTAAATTATGGCAAATTAAAGATGGACAGATCTTTAAAATAAAATATTTTGTAAAATACATTTAAAGCTACGAACACAAAAAGAAAAAAAAAGCAAAAAAAAATCAAAACAATAAATTAAAAAGAAAAAAATAAAATAAAAAAAAAAAAAAAATGAAAAAAAGAAAACAACTACTACAAACCAATTATCGACACCTACGTAAAACACCGACAAACACAAAAACAACAACCCTACAAACCACACAAAACTTCCAACTATACATTTCAATATTAACAACACACCTAAAAAAATACATATTTTTGGACCCCAACCCCCAACAACCGCTAGCCACCCCCCCCCCCCCCTACAATAAAAGAGAGAGTTTTTTGCAAAGACGAACGAGGGCACATGCAAGCCATCAGATTTCTTATTAAAGAAGAAAGAATGTTTGCCAGCTCATTCCAAGATGTTTTTCTGATGTAATCTTAATTTCCATTTTTACTTTGCCAAATAATCATTTATTGAAAAAGTACCATAGCAAAGTGCCTCAGTGACAAAGTGCCCGTAAATTTGTGAATGCAGTCATTTGATTGGTAAAGACGAGAGCAAAGATTTATCATCCAAGTGGAGGAAGTGCAAACTGAAGCACAAATTGTGTCCTTTTAAAATTCTTAAGCACACACACACACCACATATACACACACACACACACACACACTGCTATAAGGGCAGGTGAACTGATAATGCTTTTTAATGTTAATGTGTTTAAAGGGAGAAGAAAGAGGAAGAGGGTAGAGTAAAAAAGAAGAAAAACAAGAGGGAGAGAGGGGAAAAGAAAAAAAAGAAAAGAAAGAGAGGCGAGAAGAGAGAGCAAAAAAGAGAGGAGGAGAAAGCCATAAGAGCTAACAAAAGCTGAACATAATTCAGAACTAGCTATTCTATCTCTCAGCTCTCTCGCCTCCTCCAACTCTCCTCCTCTCTACTCCCTTCCTCTCTCGTCTCTCTCTCATCATCCGCTCCTTCTCCTCTCTCTCTCTCTCCCTCTCCTTCTTCCATCAGGCATGACTTATAAGACCACCACTATTCTACTGGATGGGAGGAGAGTGAAACTGGAGCTGTGGTTAGTACATCCTACATGTTGGATCAATACGTTGTTGGAGCTGGGTTAGTACATCCTACATGTTGAATCAATACGTTTGTTGGAGCTTTTGGTAGTATCCTACTGTTTAATCAACGTTGGAGCTGTGGTTAGTACATCCTACATGTTGAATCAATACGTTGTAGGAGCTGTGGTTAGTACATCCTACATGTTGAATCAACACGTTGTAGGAGCTGTGGTTAGTACATCCTACATGTTGAATCAATACGTTGTAGGAGCTGTGGTTAGTACATCCTACATGTTGAATCAATACGTTGTTGGAGCTGTGGTTAGTACATCCTACATGTTGAATCAATACGTTGTAGGAGCTGTGGTTAGTACATCCTACATGTTGAATCAATACGTTGTTGGAGCTGTGGTTAGTACATCCTACATGTTGAATCAATACGTTGTTGGAGCTGTGGTTAGTACATCCTACATGTTGAATCAACACGTTGTTGGAGCCGTGGTTAGTACATCCTACATGTTGAATCAATACGTTGGTGGAGCGTGGTTAGTACATCCTACATGTTGAAAATCGTGTAGGAGCTGTGGTACAGCTACATGTTGATCAAAGTAGAGCTGTGGTTAGTACATCCTACATGTTGAATCAACACGTTGTAGGAGCTGTGGTTAGTACATCCTACATGTTGAATCAAACGTTGTAGGAGCGTGGTTAGTACATCCTACATGTTGAATCAAAACTTGTTGGAGCTGTGGTTAGTACATCCTACATGTTGAATCAATACGTTGTAGGAGCTGTGGTTAGTACATCCTACATGTTGAATCAATACGTTGTAGGAGCTGTGGTTAGTACATCCTACATGTTGAATCAATACGTTGTAGGAGCTGTGGTTAGTACATCCTACATGTTGAATCAACACGTTGTAGGAGCTGTGGTTAGTACATCCTACATGTTGAATCAACACGTTGTAGGAGCTGTGGTTAGTACATCCTACATGTTGAATCAATACGTTGTTGGAGCTGTGGTTAGTACATCCTACATGTTGAATCAATACGTTGTAGGAGCTGTGGTTAGTACATCCTACATGTTGAATCAATATGTTGTAGGAGCTGTGGTTAGTACATCCTACATGTTGAATCAATATGTTGTAGGAGCTGTGGTTAGTACATCCTACATGTTGAAACACTATTTTAGGAGCGTGGTTAGTACATCCTACATGTTGAATCAATAGTTGTAGGAGCTGTGGTTAGTACATCCTACATGTTGAATCAAACATTGTTGGAGCCGTGGTTAGTACATCCTACATGTTGAATCAATCACGTTGTAGGAGCTGTGGTTAGTACATCCTACATGTTGAATCAATACGTTGTAGGAGCTGTGGTTAGTACATCCTACATGTTGAATCAACACGTTGTGGAGCCTGTGGTTAGTACATCCTACATGTTGAATCAACACGTTGTAGGAGCTGTGGTTAGTACATCCTACATGTTGAATCAATACGTTGTAGGAGCTGTGGTTAGTACATCCTACATGTTGAATCAATACGTTGTAGGAGCTGTGGTTAGTACATCCTACATGTTGAATCAATACGTTGTAGGAGCTGTGTAGTACATCCTACATGTTGATCAATACGTCTGTACGGAGCTGGTTGTACACCTACAGCCGAATCAATCCGTTGTAGGAGCTGTGGTTAGTACATCCTACATGTTGAATCAATACGCTGTAGGAGCTGTGGTTCAGTAGCACATCCTACATGTTGAATCAACACGTTGTGAGCTGTGGTTGTACATCTACTGTTGAATCAACAGTTGTAGGAGCTGTGGTACGTACTCCACATGTGTGAATCAATACGTTGTAGGAGCTGGTGGTATTAGTACATCCTACAGTTGAATCAATACGTTGTAGGAGCTGGTTAGTACATCCTACATGTTGAATCAACCAGTTGTAGGAGCCTTGGTAGTCAATCCTACAGGTTGATCACCAGTTAGGAGCCTGTGGTAGTACATCCTTACATGTTGAATCAATACGTTGTGGAGCTGTGGTTGTACACCTACAGTTGAATCAATACGTTGTAGGAGCATGTGTAGTAATCCACAGTTGACTCAACACTGTAGGAGCTGTGGTTAGTACATCCTACAGTGAATCAATACGTGTAGGAGCTGTGGTATACATCCTACATGTGAATCAATACGTTGTTGGAGCATTGGTTAGACATCCTACATGTTGATCATACTTGAGGAGCTGTGGTTACATCCTACATGTTGCAATCAACACGTTTAGGAAGCTGTGTTAGTACATCCTACATGTTGCATCACACTGTGGGAGCTGTGGTTGTACATCCACATGTTGAATCAACACGTTGTTGGAGCTGTGGTTAGTACATCCACATGGTTGAATCAACACGTTGTAGGAGCTGTGGTGTACATTACGCATCCAGCAGTTAACAATACGTTGAGCAGCTGGGTTATACATCCCTACATGTGAATCAATAGTTGTAGGAGCATGTGGTGTACATCTACATGTGATCAACACGTTGTTGGCCGGCACCCAGCAGGTGTCATCATTACGCCGACCCAGCAGGTGTCACCATTACGCCGACCCAGCAGGTGTCACCATTACGCCGACCCAGCAGGTGTCATCATTACGCCCACCCAGCAGGTGTCACCATTACGCCCACCCAGCAGGTGTCATCATTACGCCCACCCAGCAGGTGTCATCATTACGCCCACCCAGCAGGTGTCATCATTACGCCCACCCAGCAGGTGTCATCATTACGCCCACCCAGCAGGTGTCATCATTACGCCGACCCAGCAGGTGTCATCATTACGCTGACCGTGTGTGAGCTGATAGTCAGGGGAGGGAAATGAGCTGATTAAAAAGACATGAGCCCTAATACATGCCATCCATCTCTCTGTTAACACTCTTAAAGTGGAACTTACAGCGTTTTAGCAACATAAAATCTGTTCAAATACACCCCCAGGAAGAATATGACACCTTTTATATTGTGTATATATATTTTCTGACAAGCGAGCACTTAGATTTTCACATTGTCATAAATTCTTAGAATGTTTGGGAATGATGTATAATAAGGCATTTGTGAAAATGCTATTGCTGCCGTGCATTTGGACAATTAATAGACACTGCAGTAAATAAACCTAATAAAAACTTCCAGGACCGGAGTCTACGTAGACCGGTGCACCATAGCCAATCAGAGCTTCAGTAGACCTTTATGCAAATAATCCATGTTCCACACGGGCCTGCTATCATTCACTTTGAACTGGACTGTGTGTTTACAGGCGGTAGCACCAGCGCGACTTTAGAGCATTAGAACGCATTCACCAAAAGCCACAAAATACTCCTTAATGGATTTCTACAAATATGTAAATACCACGGGAGTCCTCTTACATTTGGGAACTTTACAGTCCTATTGATCAAACAACCATGAAAAGGTAGGCTCTCTGTCCCTCAGTTATGCACATCAACAACAACAAGATCAACAACTAATGCTAGCCAGAGCGAGATGAGCTAAAATCTAACGAGGGAACATTAGATAAACCCTCTCAAACCTTTTCAGCTAGTTGGTCGTCAAAATTGCACTTATAAACGATGAGGAATAGTAGCCTGCTCGCCCTTTTGCAGCTTGCCTGCCAATGCATGCTTGTCCCAACCCACGTTTTGACAACTGAATGGGAACTTGCCTGCCTGCCCATTTGATCGATGCCAAATACATTTGATTGACAACTAAGGGTGTGTTGGTACATTTCCTCCAGTGTGTCAGAGCGCACGCTGTACCATAGACACTGGATGCTCTGGCCGAGGGGGAGGGTTGATCCGAGCGTTCCTCACAACAAGACGCCGCTTGGGTGCCAAGCTAACTGGCTAACTTTACTCACCCTAGCAGAGCTGGTTTGGCTGTTTTCATGTTATCTAGAGCGTTAGTAAAAAAAACTGTGCTGCTGGAAACAATTTAAGAACTTTCTTTTGCCGACGTTTACTGACACGGTCATATTCGGCGGGTGTTGCGCGTTCGTAAATTCATCAGTTATTCTGCGCTCTGGCATACTCCGATGAGCGCTTTGAAATCGGAGTAGATAGCCAGAGTGAATTTACGAACACAAGAGATATGCTAACTGGATAACAGTCATTCAAGTTCAGCATAGCTAGCTAGCTAGCGAAGTGATTCACATTTCTTGCTAGCTAACCAAGTGACACCTGCATCTCTAGCTGTAGCCACCGAAAAACGATATGAGGGGAAAAAGTTGATCAGTCACCCACTCCTCCAATGACATGACATCCTCCCAGCAGCTAGCTAGCTAACATTTGGCTCTGTGTTTTTAGCTTTCTAAATAAATAGTTACATAAATAGATACACTAGCATATTAGCCACATTATGATTGACTTCTTATCATTGCCGTTGCTAGTTGGATTGTATTGACAATCCCAGCCTTAGTTACATTTGTCCGTTTTTATAAAAAATATTGTGTCATTGAAACTGAAACAGTGCATCCCGAATGGGTGGAGGCAGCAAACAATGTACCAGGCCAGCTGTGATTTACAACCTGATAGCAATATTTTTTGGACTACCAAGAAATGTATTGGTGAATTATATTAATCATGCATTGAACTGCATCCATCTATTCTGCCAACAATGTCTTACCGTACATCATGGAGTTTTGAGTCAAATAGAGCCTGTTTTTAAAACCTCTTGTAAAGTTGTTTTTGTAGCATAAACTGGGAATTTAATATTTTTGACTGATATTATGATTGTCTGTTTGTTTCATATCTGCAAAGTAGTTAAAACGCTGTCAGTTCCACTTTAACGTTACCCAATCACTACTCAGATACCATCTCTCTGTTAACTCCTTTAACGTTACCCAATCACTACTCAGATACCATCTCTGTTAACTCCCTTACCGTTACCCAATCACCACATCTCCCTTTCATCTCACCAGCCAATCAGTTTCCAGATTCATATTCCTGTCAGCTTATCCTCAGCCAATCAACATACAACAACTTTCTCTCTCACCAGTCAGACTTCAGGATACAGTGATATGAGATGTTCTCTTTCTGGAAAGATAACTGAAGCGTGGGTGGCAAATAAAGGTTTATTATTAATTCATGGTACACCGGATAGGTGCAGTTAAATGTGTTGTTTTACAGGGTCAGCCATAGTAGTATGTCACCCCTGGAGTAAATTAGGGTTAAGTGTCTTTCTCAAAGGCACATCGAGAGGTTTTTCACCTTGTCGGCTCGGGTATTCGAAAACCAGCGACCTTTCGGTTACTGGCCCAACGCTCTAACCGCTAGGCTACCTGTCGCCGCTACTTGTCAGTCAGTAGAGCTGTGTGAAACAGTCAGTCAGTAGAGCTGTGTGAAACAGTCAGTCAGTAGAGTTGTGTGAAACAGTCAGTCAGTAGAGCTGTGTGAAACAGTCAGTCAGAGTTGTGTGAAACAGTCAGTCAGTAGAGTTGTGTGAAACAGTCAGTCAGTAGAGTTGTGTGAAACAGTCAGTCAGTAGAGTTGTGTGAAGCAGTCAGTCAGTAGAGTTGTGTGAAGCAGTCAGTCAGTAGAGTTGTGTGAAACAGTCAGTCAGTAGAGTTGTGTGAAACAGTCAGTCAGTAGAGCTGTGTGAAACAGTCAGTCAGTAGAGTTGTGTGAAGCAGTCAGTCAGTAGAGTTGTGTGAAACAGTCAGTCAGTAGAGCTGTGTGAAACAGTCAGTCAGTAGAGTTGTGTGAAGCAGTCAGTCAGTAGAGTTGTGTGAAACAGTCAGTCAGTAGAGTTGTGTGAAACAGTCAGTCAGTAGAGCTGTGTGAAACAGTCAGTCAGTAGAGTTGTGTGAAGCAGTCAGTCAGTAGAGTTGTGTGAAACAGTCAGTCAGTAGAGCTGTGTGAAACAGTCAGTCAGTAGAGTTGTGTGAAACAGTCAGTCAGTAGAGCTGTGTGAAACAGTCAGTCAGTAGAGCTGTGTGAAACAGTCAGTCAGTAGAGTTGTGTGAAACAGTCAGTCAGTAGAGCTGTGTGAAACAGTCAGTCAGTAGAGCTGTGTGAAACAGTCAGTCAGTCAGAGTTGTCTGAAACAGTCAGTCAGTAGAGTTGTGTGAAGCAGTCAGTCAGTAGAGTTGTGTGAAGCAGTCAGTAGAGTTGTGTGAAACAGTCAGTCAGTAGAGTTGTGTGAAACAGTCAGTCAGTAGAGCTGTGTGAAACAGTCAGTCAGTAGAGTTGTGTGAAGCAGTCAGTAGAGTTGTGTGAAACAGTCAGTCAGTAGAGTTGTGTGAAACAGTCAGTCAGTAGAGCTGTGTGAAACAGTCAGTCAGTAGAGTTGTGTGAAACAGTCAGTCAGTAGAGCTGTGTGAAACAGTCAGTCAGTAGAGTTGTGTGAAGCATTGTCAGTAGAGTTGTGTGCAACAGAAACAGTCAATAAAGTTGTGTGAAACAGTTAATCTGTCATTAGAGCTGTGTGAAGCAGTCAGTCAGTAGAGTTGTGTGAAACAGTCAGTCAGTAGAGTTGTGTGAAACAGTCAGTCAGTAGAGTTGTGTGAAGCAGTCAGTCAGTAGAGTTGTGTGAAACAGAAACAGTTAGTCAAGAGTTGTGTGAAGCAGTCAGTCAGTAGAGTTGTGTGAAGCAGTCAGTCAGTAGAGTTGTGTGAAGCAGTCAGTCAGTAGAGTTGTGTGAAGCAGTCAGTCAGTAGAGTTGTGTGAAGCAGTCAGTCAGTAGAGTTGTGTGAAGCAGTCAGTCAGTAGAGTTGTGTGAAACAGTCAGTCAGTAGAGTTGTGTGAAACAGTCAGTCAGTAGAGTTGTGTGAAACAGTCAGTCAGTAGAGTTGTCTGAAACAGTCAGTCAGTAGAGTTGTCTGAAACAGTCAGTCAGTAGAGTTGTCTGAAACAGTCAGTCAGTAGAGTTGTCTGAAACAGTCAGTCAGTAGAGTTGTGTGAAGCAGTCAGTCAGTAGAGTTGTCTGAAACAGTCAGTCAGTAGAGTTGTGTGAAACAGTCAGTCAGTAGAGTTGTGTGAAACAGTCAGTCAGTAGAGTTGTGTGAAACAGTCAGTCAGTAGAGTTGTGTGAAACAGTCATTGTGTGAAACAGTCAGTCAGTAGAGTTGTGTGAAACAGTCAATAGAGTTGTGTGAAACAGTCAGTCAGTAGAGTTTTGTGAAACAGTCAGTCACTAGAGTTGTGTGAAGCAGTTAATCTGTCATTAGAGCTGTGTGAAACAGAAACAGTTAGTCAAGAGTTGTGTGAAGCAGTCAGTCAGTAGAGTTGTGTGAAACAGTCAGTCAGTAGAGTTGTGTGAAACAGTCAGTCAGTAGAGTTGTGTGAAGCATTGTCAGTAGAGTTGTGTGCAACAGAAACAGTCAAAGTTGTGTGAAGCAGTTAATCTGTTATTAGAGCTGTGTGAAACAGTCAGTAGAGTTGTGTGAAACAGAAACAGTTAGTCAGTAGAGTTGTGTGAAGCAGTCAGTAGAGTTGTGTGAAGCAGTCAGTCAGTAGAGTTGTGTGAAGCAGTCAGTCAGTAGAGTTGTGTGAAACAGTCAGTCAGTAGAGTTGTCTGAAACAGTCAGTCAGTAGAGTTGTCTGAAACAGTCAGTCAGTAGAGTTGTCTGAAACAGTCAGTCAGTAGAGTTGTCTGAAACAGTCAGTCAGTAGAGTTGTCTGAAACAGTCAGTCAGTAGAGTTGTGTGAAGCAGTCAGTCAGTAGAGTTGTCTGAAACAGTCAGTCAGTAGAGTTGTGTGAAACAGTCAGTCAGTAGAGTTGTGTGAAACAGTCAGTCAGTAGAGTTGTGTGAAACAGTCAGTCAGTAGAGTTGTGTGAAACAGTCAGTCAGTAGAGTTGTGTGAAACAGTCAATAGAGTTGTGTGAAACAGTCAGTCAGTAGAGTTTTGTGAAACAGTCAGTCACTAGAGTTGTGTGAAGCAGTTAATCTGTCATTAGAGCTGTGTGAAGCAGTCAGTCAGTAGAGTTGTGTGAAACAGTCAGTCAGTAGAGTTGTGTGAAACAGTCAGTCAGTAGAGTTGTGTGAAGCATTGTCAGTAGAGTTGTGTGCAACAGAAACAGTCAAAGTTGTGTGAAGCAGTTAATCTGTTTATTAGAGCTGTGTGAAACAGTCAGTAGAGTTGTGTGAAACAGAAACAGTTAGTCAGTAGAGTTGTGTGAAGCAGTCAGTAGAGTTGTGTGAAGCAGTCAGTAGAGTTGTGTGAAACAGTCAGTCAGTAGAGTTGTCTGAAACAGTCAGTCAGTAGAGTTTGTCTGAAACAGTCAGTCAGTAGAGTTTGTCTGAAACAGTCAGTCAGTAGAGTTGTCTGAAACAGTCAGTCAGTAGAGTTGTCTGAAACAGTCAGTCAGTAGAGTTGTGTGAAACAGTCAGTCAGTAGAGTTGTCTGAAACAGTCAGTCAGTAGAGTTGTGTGAAACAGTCAGTCAGTAGAGTTGTGTGAAACAGTCATTGTGTGAAACAGTCAGTCAGTAGAGTTTTGTGAAACAGTCAATAGAGTTGTGTGAAACAGTCAGTCAGTAGAGTTTTGTGAAACAGTCAGTCAGTAGAGTTGTGTGAAACAGTCAGTCAGTAGAGTTGTGTGAAACAGTTAGTCAGTAGAGTTGTGTGAAACAAACAGTCAGTCAGTAGAGTTGTGTGAAACAGAAACAGTTAGTCAGTAGAGTTGTGTGAAGCAGTCAGTCAGTAGAGTTGTGTGAAACAGTCAGTCAGTAGAGTTGTGTGAAACAGTCAGTCAGTAGAGTTGTGTGAAACAGTCAGTCAGTAGAGTTGTGAGAAGCAGTCAGTCAGTAGAGTTGTGTGAAACAGTCAGTCAGTAGAGTTGTGTGAAACAGTCAGTCAGTAGAGTTGTGAGAAACAGTCAGTCAGTAGAGTTGTGTGAAGCATTGTCAGTAGAGTTGTGTGCAACAGAAACAGTCAGTAGAGTTGTGTGAAACAGTCAGTAGAGTTGTGTGAAACAGAAACAGTCAGTCAGTAGAGTTGTGTGAAACAGTCAGTCAGTAGAGTTGTGTGAAACAGTCAGTCAGTAGAGTTGTGTGAAGCATTGTCAGTAGAGTTGTGTGCAACAGAAACAGTCAGTAGAGTTGTGTGAAACAGTCAGTCAGTAGAGTTGTGTGAAACAGAAACAGTCAGTAGAGTTGTGTGAAGCATTGTCAGTAGAGTTGTGTGCAACAGAAACAGTCAGTAGAGTTGTGTGAAACAGTCAGTCAGTAGAGTTGTGTGCAACAGAAACAGTCAGTAGAGTTGTGTGAAACAGTAAAGTAGTGCTGGACAGGACCTACCCTACCCTGTGTGTGGTGACAGATACATCGAGCTGCCCTCTGAGTGACCGAGAGATCAATAGTCCATTTCAACTCAGCCCCACTCTGTACAGCTAAAGGCCTTTTGGCTTTGGGAAGCTAGGTGGCCATTTTGGAGCGTAAAAATTAGCAGTCTTATATTTGTTCCATTTCCCAATGATGGAGACAACTGTGCTCTAGGAAACGTTCAACACTCTAGAAATTGCTTTATACCTTTCCCAAGATATATTCCTCATCACAAGTCTATCTTGGAGACCTACGGACAGTTTCTTGGACTTCATGGTATAGTTTCTCCTCTGACGTGCACTGTCAACTGTGGGACCTTATATTAGACAAGTGTATTTCTTTCTAAATCATGTCCAAACAATTGAATTGGCCAGGTGATCAAAGTAAATTGGATTACACCTGAGCTCAATCTGTAGTGTCATAGCAAAGGGGTGTGAATACAAAGGGGTATTTCTGTGTTTCATTTTCAATACATTTGCTGAAATGTCTAAATATGTTTTCACTTTGTCGTTAGGGGGTATTGTGTATAGATGGGTGATAAAAATCAATGTTGAATTCAGGCTGTAACAACAAAATGTGGAATAAGTCAAGGGGTATGAATACTTTCTGAAGGCACTGCGTGATTGATTGATTTTATTATTATAATGTCATGAATCTTCAGGATGATCCGATAGGCTTATAAATCGCTGTAGCAAAATACAATTATGTATATGTATGTGTATATATATATATATATATATATATTATATATATATATATATATATATATATATATATATATATATATATATATACAGTGAGGGAAAAAAGTATTTGATCCCCTGCAGATTTTGTACGTTTGCCCACTGACAAAGACATGATCAGTCTATAATTTTAATGGTTAGATTTATTTGAACAGTGAGAGACAGAATAACAACAACAAAATCCAGAAAAAACGCATGTCAAAAATGTTATAAATTGATTGCATTTTTAATGAGGGAAATAAGTATTTGACCCCCTCTCAATCAGAAAGATTTCTGGTTCCAAGGTGTCTTTTATACAGGTAACGAGCTGAGATTAGGAGCACACTCTTAAAGGGAGTGACTGCTAATCTCAGTTTGTTACCTGTATAAAAGACACCTGTCCACAGAAGCAATCAATCAATCAGATTCCAAACTCTGCACCATGGCCAAGACCAAAGAGCTCTCCAAGGATGTCAGGGACAAGATTATAGACCTATACAAGGCTGGAATGGGCTACAAGACCATCGCCAAGCAGCTTGGTGAGAAGGTGACAACAGTTGATGTGATTATTCGCAAATGGAAGAAACACAAAAAGAACTGTCAATCTCCCTCGGCCTGGGAAACATGCAAGATCTCACCTCGTGGAGTTGCAATGTTCATGAGAACGGTGAGGAATCAGCCCAGAACTACACAGGATGATCTTGTCAATGATCTCAAGGCAGCTGGGACCATAGTCACCAAGAAAACAATTGGTAACACACTACGCCGTTGAAGGACTGAAATCCTGCAGCGCCCGCAAGGTCCCCCTGCTCAAGAAAGCACATATACAGGGCCGTCTGAAGTTTGCCAATGAACATCTGAATGATTCAGAGGAGAACTGGGTGAAAGTGTTGTGGTCAGATGAGACCAAAATCGAGCTCTTTGGCATCAACTCAACTCGCCGTGTTTGGAGGAGGAGGAATGCTGCCTAAGACCCCAAGAACACCATCCCCACCGTCAAAACATGGAGGTGGAAACATTATGCTTTGGGGGTGTTTTTTCTGCTAAGGGGACAGGACAACTTCACCGCATTAAAGGGACGATGGACGGGGCCATGTACCGTCAAATCTTGGGTGAGAACCTCCTTCCCTCAGCCAGGGCATTGAAAATGGGTCGTGGATGGGTATTCCAGCATGACCAATGACCCAAAACACCACGGCCAAGGCAACAAAGGAGTGGCTCAAGAAGAAACACATTAAGGTCCTGGAGTGGCCTAGCCAGTCTCCAGACCTTAATCCCATAGAAAATCTGTGGAGGGAGCTGAAGGTTCGAGTTGCCAAACGTCAGCCTCGAAACCTTAATGACTTGGAGAAGATCTGCAAAGAGGAGTGGAACAAAATCCCTCCTGAGATGTGTGCAAACCTGGTGGCCAACTACAAGAAACTTCTGACCTTCTGTGATTGCCAAACAAGGGTTTTACCACCAAGTACTAAGTCATGTTTTTGCAAAGGGGTCAATACTTATTCCCTCATTAAAATGCAAATCAATTATAACATTTTTTGACATGCGTTTTTTCTGGATTTTGTTGTTGTTCATTCCTGTCTCTCACTGTTCAAATAAACCTACCATTAAAATCATAGACTTGATTCATGTCTTTGTCAGTGGGCCAAAACGTACAACATCAGCAGGGGATCAAATACTTTTTTCCCTCACTGTATCTAATATATATATATCATATATATTATATATAGATATATATATATATTATAGATATATAGATATATATACACCACCAAAAACCACATTATATATATATATATACACACCATAACATATTATGTATAACACACATACGATATAAATATTAATATAATATATAATATATATATATATATATATATATAGATAATATATATAATACACACAAATATAAATAAACACACATACAAATTGTGGAAAAAATTAAGGAAATGCAAAATTATCAGTTTTTGGTTTTCCTATTTTTATGTTGAGTTTTTTAAAAAAAAAAATTTTTGTTTTTTCTATAAACTAGACAACATTTCTCCCCAAAAACCCCCCCAAAATATTGTCATTTTAAAATTTTTTTGCAGAAAAAATATTGGTCAAAATAACAAAAAGAGGTGTGTAGACCCGTAATGCAAAAAAATAAATTTAAAGTTCATTTTTAAACAACACATACTAAAGTTTTAATTTAGAAAAACAATATTTTTTGGAAAACCCTGATTTTCAATCACAGTTTCATGGTCTTTTGGGATGCTCCACCAGTCTTTTAAATTTATTTGGGTGACTTTATGCATCCTGGCACAAAAATTCAAGCGCTGGCTTGTTGATGGCTTTTTGACAAAACCCTTTCCTCTTTTAATTTCAAAAGTTTTTTTAAAAGGGGTTCAGGTCGGAGATTGGGCTGGCCATGACAGGGTTTGATTGGTGGTTCCATCCCCCAAATTGATTGACTGGTTGTGGATGGCGCATTGTCCTGCTGGAAAAAAAAAAACCCCCGGTTTGGGGGAAAAATGTCAGAGCAAAAGGAAGCCGTTTTTCAGGACAGCCTTGTACGTGGCTTTATTTGCGTCCCTTTCCCAAAAACAAAAATTTCCCGATTTTCCCGCCTTGCTGAAGCACCCAGACATCACCGATCCCCCACCAATTTCCAGTGGGGGGAGACACGTGGTTGTAGGCCTCCCGGGCTCCGTCTAAACCCTTAGATGACCAGGTGTTTGGGGAAAGCGAAAATTGGGCTCATAGGAAGAGACCTTATCCAATCTTATGGCTTTTGCAACCTCAGCCCGGGTTTCTTGCTTTTCCCTTGATGAAGGGGTTTTTTGTAGTTTTAGACTTAAACCCTGCCCCCCGGAGCCTGTTTCGAACCGCCTCGCCGTGATTCACCCCCGCTGCCCTTTGGCATTCTTTTTGGGAGGTTTTTACTTGATGTTTTAAAAAAACCTCCCCCGGTTGAGGACCCCCCCCCCGGAAGACCAAAAAAGCTCTCCAAATTTGGGGGAAACAAGATTATAGACCTATACAAGGCGGGAAAAGGGGGCTACAAGCCCCTCCCAAGAAAGCTTGGGGGAGAAGGTGAAAAAAGGTTGATGGATTATCGCAAATGGAAAAAAAAAACCCAAAAGAACTGTCAATCTCCCTCGGCCTGGGAAAAAACAGGCCCAAACCACTCGGGAGTTGCAATGTCAGGGAAGGGTGGGGAAATCACCCAAAGAACAAAAAAAGGGAGATTTGTAAATGATTTTCAAGGCCTGGGACCATGTCCCAAGAAAAAAAATTTGGTAAACACTACGCCGTAAAGGACTAAAATCCTGCAGCGCCCGCAAGGCCCCCCCTTTTCCAAGAAAGCAAATATCCGGGCCTTTTAAATTTTCCAATAAACTCTAATAAATTAAAAGGGGAAAAAAACGGGGTTTTAAAAAAGTGTTTGGTCAGATAAACCAAAATCGACCCTTTTTGGGGCTTTCAACCCCAACCCCCTTTTTTGGGAAGGAGGAGGAATGCTCCCCCTAAGACCCCAAAAAAAACAATCCCCCCCCGGGTTCAAAATGGGGGGGGGAAACTTGTTTTTGGGGGGTTTTTCGGGCTAAGGGGACGGGAAAACTTCACCCCGCAAAAGGGACGTTTTACGGGGGCCATGTACCGTAAAATTTTGGGATAAACCCCCTTCCCCTCACCCAGGGCATTGAAATGGGGGGGGGATGGGTTTTTCCAGCATGAAAATGACCCAAAACACAGGGCCAAAGGCAAAAAAGGAGTGGCTCAAGAAGAAAAAATTTAAAAGGTTTTGGATTGGCCAAACCCAGCCCTCCCAACCCTTTAATCCCATAGAAAATTTTTGGGGGGGGCCTAAAGGTTCGAGTTCCCCAAACTTTCCCCCAAAGAAAAAACCCTTTAAAGGACTTGGAAAGATTTCAAAGAGGAGGGGAAACCCAAAACCCCCTGAATGTTTTCCCAAAACCTGGTCCCCCAAACTACAAAAAATTCCCTGACCTTTGGATTGCCAAAAAGGGTTTTTTACCAAAGTACTAAGTCATGTTTTGAAAAAGGGGTAAAATATTTATTTCCCCATAAAATTTAAAACCCTTTTTTAAAAAAATTTTTGACTTTGGTTTTTTTTTGGTTTTTGGGTTGTTGTTATTCGGTCCTCACGGGGCCCAAAAAACCCCCAAAACCAAGCGGACACCGGGCAGGGGGAAAAAGGGCAAAACAGCAGGGGTAAAAAACCTTTTCCCCAGGGGAAAAAAAAAAAAAAAGATAAAAAATTTAGAAAAAATAAAATTAAAACCCCACACCCCAAAATTAAAATATAAATAACACATCCCAATATAGAACACAACCATATATTATATTTATATATTATATTATTTTTATATATATAAATATATATTTTAATTAATATTCTACCCACACATGGTACATATATTATATATATACACACATACATACATCTGTGGAAAAAATAAGAGACACTGCCAAAAATTATCAGTTTCTCTGGTTTTCCTATTTATATGTATGAGTTTGGGATAAAAAAAACTTTTTTGTTTTATTCTATAAACTACTGACAACATTTTCTCCCAAATTCCCCCCATAAATATTGTCATTTAGAGCATTTATTTGCAGAAAATTATCTGGTCAAAATAACAAAAAAGATGCAGTGTTGTCAGACCTCGACTAATGCAAGAAAATTAACATTAATGCTTCATTTTTTAAACAACACATACTAATGTTTTAATTTAGAAAATCAAATATTTGTTGGAATAACCCTGATTTTCAATCACAGCTTTCATGCGTCTGGCATGCTCTCCACCAGTCTTCACTTGATGTTGGGTGACTTTATGGCCACTCCTGGCACAAAAATTCAAGCAGCTCGGCTTTGTTTGATGGCTTGTGACCATCCATCTTCCTCTTGATCACATTTCAAAAGTTTTTAAATGGGGTTCAGGTCTGGAGATTGGGCTGGCCATGACAGGGTCTTGATCTGGTGGTCCTCCATCCACACCTTGATTGACCTGGCTGTGTGGCATGGCGCATTGTCCTGCTGGAAAAAAACAATCCTCAGAGTTGGGGAACAATGTCAGAGCAAAAGGAAGCACGTTTTCTTCCAGGACAGCCTTGTACTTGGCTTGACTTCATGCGTCCTTCACAAAGACAAATCTGCCCGATTCCCAGCCTTGCTGAAGCACCCCAGATCATCACCGATCCTCCACCAAATTTCACAGTGGGTGGAGACACTGTGGCTTGTAGGCCTCTCCAGGTCTCCCGTCTAACCATTAGATGACCAGGTGTTGGGCAAAGCTGAAAATTGGACTCATCAGAGAAGATGACCTTACTCCAATCCTTATGGTCTTTTGCAAACCTCAGCCTGGCTCTTCTTTGCTTCTCATTGATGAAGGGATTTTTTGTAGCTTTGCACGACTTCAGCCCTGCCCCTAGGAGCCTGTTTTCGAACCGTCTCGCCGTGCACTTCACCCCAGCTGCCGTTTGGCATTCTTTTGTAGGTCACTTGATGTCATCCTACGGTTGTTGAGTGACATTCGAATGAGTTGACGGTCATCCCGGTCAGTAGAGAGTTGTTTTCGCCCTCTGCCGGTCTGTAGCTTTGTTGTCCCCAATGTCTGCTGCTTGACCTTGTTCTTATGAACCGCCGTCTTTGACATTTTTAGGATGGAAGTAACCTGACGCTCACTGCATCCCTCTGCCAGTAAAGCCAGAATTGAACCCTTCTTTTCCTCACTCAACACTTTCCTTTTCAACTCTTTTGGCATAGTCAATAGTAATTTTTTAATTAATATTACTTTTGAGGTACTATTAGTACTGTTTTTGCCATCCAGCTGATCCTATTGCAAGAGGATAGTGATGACCACAGCAGTGGTGTTTATACTTTTCCTCGTTAAATAAGATTTGGTTCAGGTGATCGCATAATCAGTACCTAATTCAGTAGAATGAGGTGTGCCTGTGTTGGAATTCAACAGACACCGGAATGGAATGGCTGTCATACATGTAGAGATGCTGATTTAAGAAATATTTGCAGTGGTCTCTTAATTTTTTCCACAGCTGTATATATACAGTGGGGAGAACAAGTATTTGATACACTGCCGATTTTGCAGGTTTTCCTACTTACAAAGCATGAAGAGGTCTGTAATTTTTATCATAGGTACACTTCAACTGTGAGAGACGGAATCTAAAACAAAAATCCAGAAAATCACATTGTATGATTTTTAAAAGTAATTAATTTGCATTTTATTGCATGACATAAGTATTTGATCACCTACCAATCAAACAGACTCCAACCTCTCCACAATGGCCAAGACCAGAGAGCTGTGTAAGGACATCAGGGATAAAATTGTAGGCCTGCACAAGGCTGGGATGGGATACAGGACAATAGGCAAGCAGCTTGGTGAGAAGGCAACAACTGTTGGCGCAATTATTAGAAAATGGAAGAAGTTCAAGATGATGGTCAATCACCCTCGGTCTGGGGCTCCATGCAAGATCTCACCTCGTGGGGCATCAATGATCATGAGGAAGGTGAGGGATCAGCCCAGAACTACACGGCAGGACCTGGTCAATGACCTGAAGAGAGCTGGGACCACAGTCTCAAAGAAAACCATTAGTAACACACTACGCCGTCATGGATTAAAATCCTGCAGTGCACGCAAGGTCCCCCTGCTCAAGCCAGCGCATGTCCAGGCCCGTCTGAAGTTTGCCAATGACCATCTGGATGATCCAGAGGAGGAATGGGAGAAGGTCATGTGGTCTGATGAGACAAAAATATAGCTTTTTGGTCTAAACTCCACTTGCCGTGTTTGGAGGAAGAAGGATGAGTACACCCCCAAGAACACCATCCCAACCGTGAAGCATGGAGGTGGAAACATCATTCTTTGGGGATAATTTTCTGCAAAGGGGACAGGACGACTGCACGTATCGCGAGATCTTGGCCAACAACCTCCTTCCCTCAGTAAGAGCATTGAAGATGGGTCGTGGCTGGGTCTTCCAGCATGATAACGACCCGAAAACACACAGCCAGGGCAACTAAGGAGTGGCTCCGTAAGAAGCATCTCAAGGTCCTGGAGTGGCCTAGCCAGTCTCCAGACCTGAACCCAATAGAAAATCTTTGGAGGGAGCTGAAAGTCCGTATTGCCCAGCGGATCTGGAGAAGGTCTGTATTGAGGAGTGGGCCAAAATCCCTACTGCAGTGTGTGCAAACCTGGTCAAGACCTACAGGAAACGTATGATATCTGTAATTGCAAACAAAGGTTTCTGTACCAAATATTAAGTTCTGCTTTTCTGATGTATCAAATACTTATGTCATGCAATAAAATGCAAATTAATTACTTAAAAATCATACAATGTGATTTTCAGGATTTTTGTTTTAGATTCCGTCTCTCACAGTTGAAGTGTACCTATGATAAAAATTACAGATCTCTACATGCTTTGTAAGTAGGAAAACCTGCAAAATCGGCAGTGTATCAAATACTTGTTCTCCCCACTGTATGTCGCTCATGCAGCTAACAAAAACATATGGAAATATCTGCTCTACCCAAAATTACAACCAAATAATTGCAGCATTACCGCAAAAATGGAAGAGGAAAGTGGAAGGGGGAAAAAGTAAGGAGCTTGTCTGTCGGCCTTGCATTAAAGGACATGATGGGTTAAAAAAAATTGTGATAAATAAAAAAGTTTACCAGTTTCATTTAAGGACCAAATGATTGACAGCCATCCCATATAGATTGCAAAATAGTTGGGAAGGGATTTTTGACGTACCGATTCCATGGCATAGTGTTTATGAACTGATACGCAAAACGACGACGGATACAAAACTTAGAATTTTTCAATTTAAATTATTATATAAAATTCTTGCTACCAATAGAATATTATTTATATATATTAAGTTCTGCTTTTCTGATGTATCAAATACTTATGTCATGCAATAAAATGCAAATTAATTACTTAAAAATCATACAATGTGATTTTCAGGATTTTTGTTTTAGATTCCGTCTCTCACAGTTGAAGTGTACCTATGATAAAAATTACAGACCTCTACATGCTTTGTAAGTAGGAAAACCTGCAAAATCGGCAGTGTATCAAATACTTGTTCTCCCCACTGTATATATATATATATCTCATCAAAAGTTACAACATTTTAAAAACAGTGATTTTCAAACACTATGAGATTCGTGGTGACGTGGGGAGCAAGAATATACCCTCCCTCTGGCTAGAAACTCATTGCAGGTTTTGAAAATCACTGTTTTTCTTACTTTTAATCCTACCCTGTGATGTCACAGAGAAGCATTTTTTAGGACCTTATCTTTTTAACTACAGATCATAGAAATGTGGTGTTTTCACATGTAGACAATATGTATGGTGCTGGAGATAATGAATATGGCGGAATTGCCTTTTTAACTGTGGTTTACACCTCTCTCTCTCTCTCTCTCCCACCCCTCTCTCTCTCTCCCTCTCTATCAGGGACACGTCAGGACAGGGGAGGTTCTGCACCATCTTCAGGTCCTACTCCAGAGGAGCTCAGGTAGGAACACACATTCTGCTGACACAGTACACACATGCTGCTGACACAGTACACACATTCTGCTGACACAGTACACACATTCTACTGACATAGTGTGTATATGTATGTATGTATGTATATATATATATATATATATATATATTTTATTTTTTATTTTTTATTGTTTCATTCACTTCTCTTTTTGACCTGCACTGTTGGAGCTTAAGAATTTCACTGTACCCTGCAGTTACATCTGAGACCCTGTGCATGTGACTAATAAACTCATCTAATCGAATCTAGTACACACACAATCTAATGACTTAGTACACACACACACACCCCCATTGTACTGACACAAGCCCCCTACTGAGTGTGTTTGGCTGGCCTTCTCTGCTTGTCCTACTCCTATAAACAGGACAGAAAAGAACAATGCCTGATGTGTGTGTGTTCTCCAGGGGATCCTGCTGGTGTATGACATCGCAAACCGCTGGTCGTTCGAAGGCATCGACCGCTGGATACGAGAGATTGACGAGGTACGGAGAGGAGGGGGGAGGAGAGGAAGGGAAATGGGGCAGAGGAGATGAGAGATGGAAGATGGGAGAGGAGAGGAGGGAGCAAGGGTAGAAGGTGATCTCGGATCAGCTTTCTCCCTTTCCAATCTTACCTTAACATTAGAATTATTCCACAATACTGACGACGGATCAGCTAGAGATATATTATAAACTATGGCTACAAATATTGAGGTGGTTCATTCTAACGCTATTATAATCCACTAAATCCAGATTTGGCACATCATTGTGCACGTTACACATCATGAAATACACTGAGTGTACAAAACATTTCCATGACATAGACTGACCAGGTAAAAGCTATGATCGCTTATTGATGTCACTTGTTAAATCCACTTCAATCAGTGTAGATGAAGGGGAGGAAACAGGTTAAAGAAGGATTTGTAAGCCTTGAGACAATTGAGACATGGATTGTGTATGTGTGCCATTCAGAGGGTGAATGGACAAGACAAAAGATTTAAGTGCCTTTCAATGGGGTATGGTAGTAGGTGCCAGGCGCACCGGTTTGTGTCAAGAACTGCAATGCTGCTGGGTTTTTCACGCTCAACAGTTTCCCGTATGAATCAAGAATGGTCCACCACCCAAAGGACATCCAGCCAACTTGACACAACTGTCAACATGGGAGTGAACATGGGCCAGCATCCCTGTGGAACGCTTTCAACACCTCAAAGTCCATGCCCAGAGGAATTGAGGCTGTTCTGAGTGCAAAAGGGGGTTCAACTCAATATTAGGAAGGTGTTCTTAATGTTTTGACCACTAAGCGTACTGTATATTGAGGCAAAAAATTACAGACAGTAGCGTACAAATAGCTAAATAAAACTCAATTGAATGAACATGAAATATATTTCAATATCATTCCAATATGTAGTCTATACTGTATCTTTTAATACAGTCATCTGAGTTTTCATTTGGAGCGTCATTAGATCCTTCACTTGTTATGCAAAGAAATGGGCTGCTTTGTATTTGTAGTCACATTCGTTCTGAAGTTATCAGCGGTCACAGAAAGACAGATAAACATCTTGATTTTGTGTTTAGCGGAGATCTTCTGTGTATAAAGCGACGCGGTAGGGGAGGAAAAACGCATCTAGCAACGTACTTAGCTGCTCTAAGAGTGGTCTGAGGCAGTCGTTAAATAACAATATTTTTTCAAGACCAACTTTAGAAATGATGGTTTTGGGGAACTGCTCAGAGATTGAACGATGCTCCTATGAAAGGTTCTAACGATGAACTTAGCCTTAAGATGCTTTTGGGAAACCGGTCCCTGATCTCTATATTATCTGAAAGGGACGGTTGTAACAGTTCCCTTGCTTTATTTTACTTACTACTATTTTCTGCTTCCTGTAAATCACTTAAATGCCTCCCCCCACCTCCCTCTCCCTCCCATCAGCATGCCCCGGGTGTACCTCGTATCCTGGTAGGTAACCGGCTCCACTTGGCGTTCAAGCGCCAGGTTCCTACGGAGCAGGCCCGGGCGTACGCTGAGAAGAATGGCATGACCTTCTTCGAGGTCAGCCCGCTCTGCAACTTCAACGTCATCGAGTCGTTCACAGAGCTGTCTCGCATCGTACTGATGAGGCACGGCATGGAGAAGTTCTGGAAGCCCAACAGAGGTAGGGGGGGGGGGGGCTCTACACTGAGATTTTTTTACAAGGAGTACATGTGCTCCTAATTACAAAAATGTAGGCAATTAGAAAATACAGGGTTTAGGAGCACCAGAAGATAAAAATAAGATTGAGATACAGCCTACATACAGCCTATATGCATCCTAGCTATCCTACTATTAATATAATAATATATACCATTTAGCAGAAGCTTTTATCCAAAGCGACTTAGACATGCGTGCATACATTTTTACATATGGGTGGTCCTGAGAATTGAACCCACTATCCTGGTCATGCAAGCGCCATGCACTACCAAGTGAACTACAGAGGACCATGCTGTACCAACTGAACTACAGAGGACCATGCTCTACCAACTGAACTACAGAGGACCATGCTGTACTAACTGAACTAAAGAGGACCATGCTGTACTAACTGAACTACAGAGGACCATGCTGTACTAACTGAACTAAAGAGGACCATGCTGTACCAACTGAACTACAGAGGACCATGCTGTACTAACTGAACTAAAGAGGACCATGCTGTACCAACTGAACTACAGAGGACCATGCTGTACTAACTGAACTAAAGAGGACCATGCTGTACTAACTGAACTACAGAGGACCATGCTCTACTAACTGAACTACAGAGGACCATGCTGTACCAACTGAACTACAGAGGACCATGCTGTACCAACTGAACTACAGAGGACCATGCTGTACCAACTGAACTACAGAGGACCATGCTGTACCAACTGAACTACAGAGGACCATGCTGTACCAACTGAACTACAGAGGACCATGCTCTACTAACTGAACTACAGAGGACCATGCTCTACCAACTGAACTACAGAGGACCATGCTCTACCAACTGAACTCCAGAGGACCATGCTGTACCAACTGAACTACAGAGGACCATGCTTTACCAACTGAACTACAGAGGACCATGCTCTACTAACTGAACTACAGAGGACCATGCTCTACTAACTGAACTACAGAGGACCATGCTCTACCAACTGAACTACAGAGGACCATGCTGTACCAACTGAACTACAGAGGACCATGCTGTACCAACTGAACTACAGAGGACCATGCTCTACCAACTGAACTACAGAGGACCATGCTCTACCAACTGAACTACAGAGGACCATGCTGTACTAACTGAACTAAAGAGGACCATGCTGTACCAACTGAACTACAGAGGACCATGCTGTACTAACTGAACTAAAGAGGACCATGCTGTACTAACTGAACTACAGAGGACCATGCTGTACTAACTGAACTACAGAGGACCATGCTGTACCAACTGAACTACAGAGGACCATGCTGTACCAACTGAACTACAGAGGACCATGCTGTACCAACTGAACTACAGAGGACCATGCTCTACTAACTGAACTACAGAGGACCATGCTCTACCAACTGAACTACAGAGGACCATGCTCTACCAACTAAACTACAGAGGACCATGCTGTACCAACTGAACTACAGAGGACCATGCTGTACCAACTGAACTACAGAGGACCATGCTCTACTAACTGAACTACAGAGGACCATGCTCTACTAACTGAACTACAGAGGACCATGCTCTACTAACTGAACTACAGAGGACCATGCTCTACCAACTGAACTACAGAGGACCATGCTGTACCAACTGAACTACAGAGGACCATGCTGTACCAACTGAACTACAGAGGACCATGCTCTACCAACTGAACTACAGAGGACCATGCTCTACCAACTGAACTACAGAGGACCATGCTGTACCAACTGAACTACAGAGGACCATGCTGTACCAACTGAACTACAGAGGACCATGCTCTACCAACTGAACTACAGAGGACCATGCTCTACTAACTGAACTACAGAGGACCATGCTCTACCAACTGAACTACAGAGGACCATGCTCTACTAACTGAACTACAGAGGACCATGCTCTACCAACTGAACTACAGAGGACCATGCTCTACCAACTGAACTACAGAGGACCATGCTGTACCAACTGAACTACAGAGGACCATGCTCTACTAACTGAACTACAGAGGACCATGCACTACCAAGTGAACTACAGAGGACCATGCACTACCAAGTGAACTACAGAGGACCATGCTGTACCAACTGAACTACAGAGGACCATGCTCTACCAACTGAACTACAGAGGACCATGCTCTACTAACTGAACTACAGAGGACCATGCTCTACCAACTGAACTACAGAGGACCATGCTCTACCAACTGAACTACAGAGGACCATGCTGTACCAACTGAACTACAGAGGACCATGCTGTACCAACTGAACTACAGAGGACCATGCTCTACTAACTGAACTACAGAGGACCATGCTCTACCAACTGAACTACAGAGGACCATGCTGTACCAACTGAACTACAGAGGACCATGCTCTACCAACTGAACTACAGAGGACCATGCTCTACTAACTGAACTACAGAGGACCATGCTCTACTAACTGAACTACAGAGGACCATGCTCTACCAACTGAACTACAGAGGACCATGCTCTACTAACTGAACTACAGAGGACCATGCTCTACCAACTGAACTACAGAGGACCATGCTCTACCAACTGAACTACAGAGGACCATGCTGTACCAACTGAACTACAGAGGACCATGCTCTACTAACTGAACTACAGAGGACCATGCACTACCAAGTGAACTACAGAGGACCATGCTGTACCAACTGAACTACAGAGGACCATGCTGTACCAACTGAACTACAGAGGACCATGCTCTACTAACTGAACTACAGAGGACCATGCTCTACTAACTGAACTACAGAGGACCATGCTCTACTAACTGAACTACAGAGGACCATGCACTACCAAGTGAACTACAGAGGACCATGCTGTACCAACTGAACTACAGAGGACCATGCTGTACCAACTGAACTACAGAGGACCATGCTGTACCAACTGAACTACAGAGGACCATGCTCTACTAACTGAACTACAGAGGACCATGCTCTACCAACTGAACTACAGAGGACCATGCTCTACCAACTGAACTACAGAGGACCATGCTGTACCAACTGAACTACAGAGGACCATGCTGTACCAACTGAACTACAGAGGACCATGCTCTACTAACTGAACTACAGAGGACCATGCTCTACCAACTGAACTACAGAGGACCATGCTCTACCAACTGAACTACAGAGGACCATGCTGTACCAACTGAACTACAGAGGACCATGCTGTACCAACTGAACTACAGAGGACCATGCTCTACCAACTGAACTACAGAGGACCATGCTCTACTAACTGAACTACAGAGGACCATGCTCTACTAACTGAACTACAGAGGACCATGCTCTACTAACTGAACTACAGAGGACCATGCTCTACCAACTGAACTACAGAGGACCATGCTGTACCAACTGAACTACAGAGGACCATGCTCTACCAACTGAACTACAGAGGACCATGCTGTACTAACTGAACTACAGAGGACCATGCTCTACTAACTGAACTACAGAGGACCATGCTCTACTAACTGAACTACAGAGGACCATGCTCTACTAACTGAACTACAGAGGACCATGCTCTACTAACTGAACTACAGAGGACCATGCTCTACTAACTGAACTACAGAGGACCATGCTGTACTAACTGAACTACAGAGGACCATGCTCTACTAACTGAACTACAGAGGACCATGCTCTACTAACTGGGCGGCAGGTAGCTTAGTGGGTAAGAGCGTTGTGCCAGTAACCGAAAGGTCGCTGGTTCTAATCCCCGAGCCGACTAGGTGAAAAATCTGTCGATGTGCCCTTAAGCAAGGCACTTAACCCTAATTGCTCCTGTAAGTCGCTCTGGATAAGAGCGTCTGCTAAATGACTAAAATGTAAATGTAAATGTAACTGAACTACAGAGGACCATGCTCTACTGAGTTACAGAGGACCATGCTCTACTGAGTTACAGAGGACCATGCTCTACTGAGTTACAGAGGACCACGCTCTACTGAGTTACAGAGGACCATGCTCTACTGAGTTACAGAGGACCATGCTCTACTGAGTTACAGAGGACCATGCTCTACTGAGTTACAGAGGACCATGCTCTATACTGAGTTACAGAGGACCATGCTCTACTGAGTTACAGAGGACCACGCTCTACTGAGTTACAGAGGACCATGCTCTACTGAGTTACAGAGGACCACGCTCTACTGAGTTACAGAGGACCACGCTCTACTGAGTTACAGAGGACCACGCTCTACTGAGTTACAGAGGACCACGCTCTACTGAGTTACAGAGGACCACGCTCTACTGAGTTACAGAGGACCACGCTCTACTGAGTTACAGAGGACCATGCTCTACTGAGTTACAGAGGACCACGCTCTACTGAGTTACAGAGGACCATGCTCTACTGAGTTACAGAGGACCATGCTCTACTGAGTTACAGAGGACCATGCTCTACTGAGTTACAGAGGACCATGCTCTACTGAGTTACAGAGGACCACGCTCTACTGAGTTACAGAGGACCATGCTCTACTGAGTTACAGAGGACCATGCTCTACTGAGTTACAGAGGACCATGCTCTACTGAGTTACAGAGGACCATGCTCTACTGAGTTACAGAGGACCATGCTCTACTGAGTTACAGAGGACCATGCTCTATGAGTTACAGAGGACCACGCTCTACTGAGTTACAGAGGACCATGCTCTACTGAGTTACAGAGGACCACGCTCTACTGAGTTACAGAGGACCACGCTCTACTGAGTTACAGAGGACCACGCTCTACTGAGTTACAGAGGACCATGCTCTACTGAGTTACAGAGGACCACGCTCTACTGAGTTACAGAGGACCACGCTCTACTGAGTTACAGAGGACCACGCTCTACTGAGTTACAGAGGACCATGCTCTACTGAGTTACAGAGGACCACGCTCTACTGAGTTACAGAGGACTACTTTAGAAGCACATCTCCTAAAGAAGCTATCCCGTTGTTTCTTTCTGAGCCACCAAATGTTTGCATACCACTGGTAAAGTTACCACACGGATTATTATATATGTGGTTACCAGGTTACTAGCTAGCTAATGCTTTAACATGACTGAACAAGGTTGTATTAAGGTTAGCATCTCCTGTGTATGAACTCTCTCTCTCTCTCTCTCTCCCCTCTCCTCTCTCTCTCCCCTCTCCTCCCTCCCTCTCCTCTCTCTCTCCCCTCTCCTCCCTCCCTCCCCGCTCTCTCCTCTCCTCCCTCCCCTTTCTCTCGCTCTCTCCAGTCTTCAGTCTTCAGGACCTGTGCTGCAGAGCGATTGTCTCCTGCACGCCCGTCCACCTGATTGACAAGCTGCCGTTGCCCGTGGCGATAAAGTCCCACCTCAAGTCCTTCTCTATGGCCAATGGGATGAACGCAGTGATGATGCACGGACGCTCCTATTCGCTGGCCAACGTGGCGGGCGGGTCTAAAGGGAACAGTCTGAAGCGCTCTAAATCCATCAAACCCCCCCAGAGCCCCCCACAGAACTGCACACGCAACAACTGTAAAATCTCCTAGTAATAGACCCTGTCTGGGGGGGAGGGGGAGACTGAGACCCTAAACACACTGAAACAGACCTCCTCCCTTCCACTGAGGGGACAGAGAAGAAGAGGAGAGGTTGCGTAGGGCCTGTGGGAGAACCAAGACTAAGACCTACTCTACACCCTGAGGAGGGGAGACACCCTGAAACAGACCCTTACCCCCTACCCTACACCCTGAGGAAGGGAGACACCCTGAAACAGACCCTTACCCTGAAAACAGACCCTTACCCCCTACCCTACACCCTGAGGAGGGGAGACACCCTGAAACAGACCCTTACCCCCTACCCTACACCCTGAGGAGGGGAGACACCCTGAAACAGACCCTTACCCCCTACCCTACACCCTGAGGAAGGGAGACACCCTGAAACAGACCCTTACCCTGAAACAGACCCTTACCCTGAAACAGACCCTTACCCCCTACCCTACACCCTGAGGAGGGGAGACACCCTGAAACAGACCCTTACCCCCTACCCTACACCCTGAGGAGGGGAGACACCCTGAAACAGACCCTTACCCCCTACCCTACACCCTGAGGAGGGGAGACACCCTGAAACAGACCCTTACCCCCTACCCTACACCCTGGGGGGAGAAGGAGAGGAGGTGAAACCTACTCTCTGTATGAGGAGGAGACCAGACATCTATGGTCAACCCTCGTCCATAGGAGGGGCTTGGCTGACCCCCTACCTCTGACCAATGACGTGCCCCCTCCCCGAGTGACTGCAATCCACATTTTGGTTTTGTTAAACTAGCCATGGGCAACAATTAAAGTCCAAAACCTTGACACACAAAGGCTGCGTTTACACAGGCAGCCCAATTCTAATATTTTGCCCAATTATTGGCGAAACATCTGATCTCATACCCTACTGAGTTCTAGTGTGTTTCCCCTCCCTTCGCTCCTCTCCTCTCCTCTCCTCTCCCCTCCCGTCCCTGTTGATCTGAGTATTGCCTCCTGCCGTCCCATGATTCATATCTGTTAAATAATAGATGTTCTCTTCATGGATCTCTGGAGCTTTTTACAATCCTCACTCTGCCTGTTCTTTCTTTCTCTCTCCTTCCTCGCTCCCTCTCTCCCTCTTCTCCCATCGCCTCCTCCCTCCTCCTTCTCACTCTGCCTCTCTCTCGTCGCTCTCTCCTCTCTCCCTCTACTCTTCTCACTCTCCATCGTCTCTCTCCTCTGCGTCTCTTCTCCTATCCTTCCTTCAGCTCTTCTCTAGTCCTCCTTCTGTCTCCTTCTCGGCACTCCGTAGGCCGTCTATCTCTCCGTCTCATCTCTCCTCCTCCTCCCTCTCTCTAAGGACCTTCCTAGAGCTGTCTCTCTTCCTCCTCCTCTCTCTCGGACTCTCAAGTCTCTCTGAGATAATCGTCGAGGATATCTCTCTCTAGCTCTCTCTCTCTCCCTCTCTCTCTCCTCTCGCTCTCTCTCTCTCCTCTCTCTCCTCTCTCCTCTCTCTCCTCTTCCTCTATCTCTCCCTCTCCACTCTGCCACCAGTTTCCAGTGCAGCCGGTGAAGGATCTCCCCTATCTTCCCCACAGCCTCCAACTCCCAGGCTGCATCTGAAATGGCACCCTATTCCCTACACAGGATCTGGTCTAAAGTAGTGCACTATGTAGGGTATAGGGTGCCATTTGGGACGCAGACCCAGACTCACCCAATGAAGCCTGGTTGTCAGGCTGAGTGGTGTTCTCTTCTCACTGGATGGCGGCCATATTGTTTTCCTACACAGACAGTCAGCGATGTGAGCATGGAGCCCTGGAGTTTCTCCTATTCAGGGAAGTCTCCTGACCCTCAAAGCAATTTTTCTCCCTCATTGTTCCGTGTTTTACTGAACTAACTTTTCCCTCTGGTCTAAGAGAGGCTGCAGTATACACCGCTATAAGGACAGACTCCTCTGGATGGATGGATGGATGGATGGATGGATGGGTGTATGTATGTATGGCCTTTTCTCATTTGGGAAAAAGTCTGTCCGCTCTCCTCCGTCACCCAGAAACCAATAAGTGGTCGAGGAGGGTCAATTTGTTAGTAGGTAAATGGAAGAGTGTCCTCCCCTCCTCAATAGTCACCTTTCATCAAGGATAGTCATGTGTGTCCTACCTGAGTCCTTCGCGGAAGAGTTTTGAAACGTCTTTTAAAATCACTTTACACATTTATTTTGGGATTCCACCCTGTAAACAATTTGCCTGGTGACGTGTGAGTGGAGAGGAGTCTCATTTCGTACAAGTAGCATTTTCGTCCACGTTCCCTCCTCGCCGCCTCTCCTCCATTACCTTTGACCTTTTTGAAAATGAGGCGAGAGAGGACGCAGGAGTTGAGCAAATCTAATTGAGAAAAGGCTTTTTTGTTTTATTTGGTTTGTATGCAACAATGCATCGCCTCAAAATCCAATATTGTATGAATGACGAAAATAGGACTTTAACTCTGTCTGCTTTTTATAAAGAAGCTTCTTGTGTGTCTCGAGGCCTCCCTCCCTCTCTGTTTTGAGGCCTCTCTCTCTCTGAGGTTTTCCTGGTTAGGCCACATGGTGAGGTCATGAGGTCAGGGAAAACCTCTAGGTCTGGTAATAGGAAAGGCCCAGAGGTTTTCCTGGTTAGGCCACATGGTGAGGTCATGAGGTCAGGGAAAACCTCTAGGTCTGGTAATAGGAAAGGTTGTCATGCTGTCCTAATAGTGATCTGTTGTTAGTTTCAGACTGTAAAGGAGGGAGGAGGTGATTGGTTCTTGTGTAGAACATCATAATATGGACCACTCCCTTCAGCATGTAGGGAAGACGAGCTTTCAACAAAACCTTTTTTTTGGTCCTTCCTCCATTTTTAAACTTTTGTCATTGTAATGTGTTTTAATACGACACCTTCGTTGATGTTGACCTTTATAATAGTCTGACATTGGGAAGGGCTCAAATGACACCCTATTTTCCAAAATAGGGCAGTACTTTTAAAAGAAGTGCCCTATATGAGGGAATAGGGTGTCATCTGAGATACATTGTTTTTCTTCCTGTCAAATTATTTCTCCAGATGGGATTATTGTTGTGGTTATTATTATTATTACGATGGACAGTTTAAAAAGATTGTTTGCAAAGAATGATGGGAGATTTTAGTTTCATGACCTCAACGACCATGTCAGGAGAAGGGCCCCGTTGGGGGCGTCCCTGATGTCGCCTGAGGGTGGGGATGTTATTGATGCGTCCCAAATGGCACCCTATTCCTTATATAGTGCACTACTTTTGAACAGAGTATTGCACTTGATAAGGGAATAGGGTGCCATTTTGGACGTACACTGTGTGGATAAGGGAATAGTAATGATGGTCAACACAAAATGTAAACACTATGGGTGCATCCCAAATGGCACCCTATTCCCTATCTAGTGCATTCCCAATGGGCCCTGGTCAAAAGTAGTGCACTACATAGGGAATAGGGTGCCATTTGGGCAGCATCCTATTTTCCTTTGGTTGTAGCTGCTGCTGGGTAATTTTAACAAGGAGTGTGTGATCGAGCGAGCGCAAGAGTGTGTTCTTGGAAAAAGAAACAAGCCGAAACATGTTTTTAAATTATTTGATTGTACAGTTTTAGGCTAGGGGATGAAAAGCAGACTTTTTTTCACAATAAAAACTGTTCTTAACGTTATCGAGTCGTTGTATGGTGTCTTCTGTGATCTGACGGTTCCATTTTAAAGGGATAGTTTACATTTGACATAGGCAGCCCAATTCTAATCTTGTGGCCAATTATTGGCAAAACATCTGATCTCATTGGTCAAAAGACCAATTAGTGACAAAAACGTCTGAATTGGGCTGCCTGTGTAAACAGCCTGGATTAAGGCCAGGATTCGATCAAATAACCCGTGGTATACCTCGACTAACCTGTGCCCCTGCACATTGACTCTGTACTGATACTCCCTGTATATAGCCTCGCTACTGTTATTTTGTTGTTGCTCTTTAATTATTTAATAATTATATATTTTTTTAAAATTTTTGTTCTGTTTATTTTAGTAAATACTTAACACTTATTTTTCTTAAAACTGCATTGTTGGTTAAGGGCTTGTAAGTAAGCATTTCACTGTAAGGTCTACACCGGTTGTGTTCGGCGCATGTGACATAACATTTGATTTGATTTGTAACTGCCATATATAGCGTATCATTGCTTTTGTTTAGGTGGGGCCGGACGTGTAACTGCTTTGGAACTGTCAAACCGGTTTAAAAAATCTAAAAGGTCTAACCAAAACCTTGACACACTAACCAGAGGTAATATTGTGTGTTACAGGAGTTAGTTATCCTTTCTAGAGGGGTTAGAGGTGCATGTGGCGCAGTGGTCTAAGGCAGTGCCACTAGAGATCCTGGTTCGAATCCAGGCTCTGTCGTGGCCGGCCGCGACCGGGAGACCCATGGGGCGGCGCCCAGCGTTGTCCAGGGTAGGGGAGGGAATGGCCGGCAGGGATGTAGCTCAGTTGGTAGAGCATGGCTTTTGCAACGCCAGGGTTGTGGGTTCGATTCCCACGGGGGGTATGAAAAATAAAAAATTTTATGTATGCACTCACTAACTGTAAGTCGCTCTGGATAAGACTAGCTCTATAGACATGAGTATCATAGCATCGCAAAGATACACTGCCATCTACTGGCCAAGATACACACACACACACTAACCTCGTCCCCAGGCTAGGGCTGGTGCAGAGCCTGCAAGTTGAACTTGAAAGAGGTGTGGTTAAAATCTAGTAGGTGACTCCTTGGAGACTCCACCCACTGTTTGGGGGACATGGACCTGCTGTAACCCTTGGTTACCTATTGGCACTCATTGCAAAACTGAGGAAAAAGTATCTACCTACTTTAACTACTTAAACTATTTATTTACTTGATACATACATTATATTCATGAAAATGTCCAGAAACTATTTGTCCAGCCTTCCTGCCTAGTAGCAGTGTATAAATACATAAAGTGTAATATTGTGGGCAGGGGTGGACTAAGTGATTTGGAGACCCCAGGCAGATGCTAGTATGAGGCCCGTCCTCCATAAAAATAAAATAAAAAATGAATTTATAGTAAAGATGTATTACCTTTTAATGTGCCATGAACACAACCAATTATGACGTTTTAATCTGATTGTCAAACAAATCACTATTAAAAAGTAGGTTACCTTCGCACGTTCATCCAAAATAATTCCAGCATCCGAACAGTGCACTGTGCACCCGCTAACTTTCCTTCAATTCACAAGTGGCAGAAACTATCTCACCGGGAGCAAGCGTCCGAGCGAAACAGCGCCCCTCTGCCAGACAGCAGCAGATACATGGGCTATGCATACATGTCCTGTCTCCATGACGATGGGCAGTATTATCAGCAGCACCTGTCTATCTACTAAAGAAATGCGTATTGTATCCATCCCCCTAATCTAAGGTCCCGGGGCTGGGGTTTTCTACCAAACTAACATATGGAATTGTTTTAAAGATGGTCGTACCAAGGATCATTTGGCTATTTGATTTAGAATTTTAGAACCCCTGTAGGAATAAATAAAATACATTATTTGATGAAACGTTGAATTTGGCCTTACTGCTATTAATTAGCCCATAGAAACGCATTAAATAACAGATTCATACATGGAACAACAGATAGTAAAAAATGTAATCAAAAGGAAATGTTTTATAAGTGTCTGTCTTATATCTGAGAGACAACAACATTTGAATATGATTTTTAATACCCTCAAACCCCAAGTTAGGCATACCAAGTGGTGGAAAAAGTACCCAATTGTCAACCTCGAGTAAAAGTAAAGATACATTAATAGAAAATGACAAGTAAAAGTGAAAGTCACCCTATAAAATACTACTTGAGTAAAAGTCTAAAAGTATTCAGTTTTAAATATACTTAAGTATAAATAATTTCAAATTACTTCTATTAGGCAATCCAAACGCCACAATGTGTGTTTTTTTATTGACAGATAGCCAAGGGCACACTCCAACACTCAGACGTAATTTACAAATGAAGCATCTGATCTTAGTGAGTCTGCCAGATCAGAGGCAGTAGGGATGACCAGGGATGTTTTCTTGATAAGTGTGTGAATTGGACCATTGTCCTGTTCTGTTAAACATTCAAAATGTAACGAGTACTTTAGGGAGTCGGGGAAAATGTATGGAGTAAAATGTACATTATTTTCTTTAGGAATGTAGTGAAGTAAAAGTTAAAGGAGTCAAAATATAAACAGTAAAGTAAAGTACAGATACTCCCAAAAAACTACTTAAGTAGTACTTTCAAGTAGTTTTACTTAAGTACTTTACACCACTGGGCATACCTAATTTCAAAATACGCCATCAACACTGTCAACAGCGAATTATCAGTCTTCACTTTTTCATTTGATTGATCTCAATCAGTTTCATGGGAATAGCCTGTGGTGCCATGGAGCATTTCATCCCCAGCAGAACTGTCACCAGAAAGCCCCGGGGACAAAGTATGTTTTGGGGACAAAGTATGTTTTGATGAAAAGATCACTGACATCACACATGGGAATAGCCTGTGCATTTCCATCTTCTTCAATTACTGTTTGTGGTCCTCTGTAGCTCAGCTGGTAGAGCACGGCGCTTGTAACGCCAAGGTAGTGGGTTCGATCCCCGGGACCACCCTATACACAAAAAAATGTATGCACGCATGACTGTAAGTCGCTTTGGATAAAAGCGTCTGCTAAATGACATATTATTATTTTAACAAACTATTAGCCTTTCTTGTATTTCCAATCAAAACATTAATGTATATCCTGCCGAGTGACGCGCTCTGTTGAGTTTTGGCGCATGAGAAAAAAAAGTGACTTCAGTTTCACCATCCTAAAATGTCATTATAAACGAGGTGTTTTTGGTGTAACAGTAACGTTACAAGCCTACTATGCTAAGCTATTACATTCGGTTCTGTTATGTCAAATAGGCTACTAATTAATCATTATGTGATTTTGCGAGACATGACTGACTCCAAAATGTTATTTACAGATGAGAAAGAATTTAATTCAACATCAACTTATACAGTACAAGACTTATAAAATGTTAGAATATCTAAAAGCATCAACATCCTGCCAACATATCAACATAACTCAACAAAGTAACATTAATCTTCTCTTTACCCCCACAATAAAAACGGTTTTGTATTATCAACTAACTTTATCAAAATTAACTAGCTAACACTATCACAACTAACTAACTAGCTAACACTATCACAACTAACTAACTAGCTAACACTATCACAACTAATTAACTAGCTAACACTTTAATCACAACTAACTAGCTAACACTTTATCACAACTAATTAACTAACACTTTATCACAACTAACTAACTAGCTAACACTATCACAACTAACTAACTAACTAGCTAACTAACACTTAAACCTTTGTTTTCATCAAAAAGACGATACACAATATAACATGACCTTTCAATCTGAGCGCTGCAGTTGATCTGGGCCTGTATTCATAAAGTGTCTCAGAGTAGGAGGGCTGATCTGGGATCAGTTTTCCCTTTTAGATTATAATGAACAGACAGGGGGGGGGGCCTGATCCTAGGTCAGTTTTCCCTTTTAGATTATAATGAACAGACAGGGGGGGGGGCCTGATCCTAGGTCAGTTTTCCCTTTTAGATTATAATGAACAGACAGGGGGGGGGCCTGATCCTAGATCATCACTCCTACAGGCCCTGGGCTCCTCTCCCCTCCTCTCCTAGTCTAGGTAGGGCTGCTGTTCTTAAAATAATAACAACTGTTTTATATGATCAACTCCCTTTATCTCAACTGACTAACTAACACAAATCTTCGTCTGGTACAACACACTATAGTTTAGTACGGGCTGCGTCCCAAATGGCACCCTATTCCCTACATAGTGTACTACTTTAGACCAGAGCTCTATGGAGTAGGGTGCCATTTTGGAAGCAGACCATGTCTGAGCCCTACGGTTGATGTGGGCTCCTATCCTCTCTCTGAGTCTAGGTAGGACTGATGTTGTCCCTGGTTCACCCCTGCTCTGCTGGACCCAGGTCTCCACGGAGGAGGTGGGGCGCTCTCAGGCACCGACCCAGGCAGGACGGGCACTTCGCGGGCAGGCAGCAGCTCCAACCTGGGCCCCCGGTGGGGCCTTCCCTGAAGCCATCCTCTACCCCTGACCGGCCACAGTGGATCTGGAGGGGCTGGTCGCTCCTCCTCTACCCAGCACTCCTGCCTGCTGGCTGGGGTCCGGCCGCGACCAGGGCTGCCTCTGGGGCTGGCTCCACCTCGGGGGCTGGGGGGCTGGCCTCTACCCAGCTTGGGGGAGCTGTCCCAGGGAGGCCGGGCGAACAAGGAGGGGGCCTTCATGGGGGGGGGGGTGGGCGTTGGAAGGAGGGAGGGGGGTGCGCTTCTTCTCTAAGCTGCCCTGACTCTGGCCTGGTGGGTCTCTCCTCTCTCTGGGCCATGTCTGTCTCCTCCTCCCTCTCTCTCTCCTCCTCAAAGTGCACCTATAGGGGACACAGACGGTCTTCACATCTACCTCTGTCCTCTAGCTGTCTGTTGGTCTGTCCTATCTGTCTGTCTGTCCTGTCTGTCTGTCTGTCTATCTATCTGTCTATCTGTCTGTCTGTCTGTCCTATCTGTCTGTCTGTCCTGTCTGTCTGTCTATCTGTCTATCTGTCTGTCTATCTGTCATCTCATCTACTTCTACAACAAGGCTGCCTATTCCCTTTATAGTGCACTACTTTAGACCTGGGTGATAGTACTAACCTGTGGTCTAGGTCTGCCTGTTCCCTTCTGTCTCTGTAGACACTGTAACCTCCTGAGGAGAAATACTTTATCCTTCCCCTCCTAACACCGCAGAGAGAGAGACAGGAGGAGAGAAATGAAGGATGGATTAGACAAATGAGAAAAGGGGTAAACGAGGGAAGAGAGGAAGAGAGGAAGAAAGCAGAAGAGAGGAAGAAAGGGAGAGGAAGAATAAGGAGAGACGGGAGGGAGTGATGTGGAGGGGATGGGGAGAAAGGGAGGGGACTTGAAAGAGGGATGGAGGGCGCGAGGGAGCGATAGAGAGGGAGGGAAGAGAGAAAGAGAGGGACTGAAGGCCGGGAAGAGAGAAGAGAGGAAAGGAAGAGAGGAACAAAGAGAGGGGAGAGGGATGGGAACATTAGGACAGGACATGAGAGGAACAGGAAGAGAGGGAGGGGGAGGGGAAAGGAGTTAAATAGAGAAAGAGGACGGGGACGAGGGAGGGGAGAGGGAGAGAGGGAGGGGAGAGAAGAGAGGGACAGGAAGAGAGGTGTGTGTGTATAGGCGTGTGTGTTTGTATAGGTGTGTGTATGTGCTTCAGTGTGTGTGTGTACGTGTCAGCGTGCATGTATGTGTAGGAGAGCCTCACGTTGACAATCTGTTGCCGTAGAGACATGATGAGACGTTTACGACCCTGAGTCACCTGCCACAGGAAGTACATCACCACCCTACAGGAAGTACAGACACATTTTTAAATTTTAGTCATTTAGCAGACGCTCTTATTCAGAGCTACAGTCAGAGAATCCATCACATAGCTAGGAGCTAGGGTAGCTATAGCACCTTGACAACAGACAAACCATCAAACAGGCAAAGCGTCAATACTACACCGGCTCTGACGCTCGTCGGATGTGGCAGGGCTTGCAAACTATTACGGACTACAAAGGGAAACCCAGCCACGAGCTGCCCAGTGACGCAAGCCTACCAGACGAACTAAATTCCTTTTATGCTGGCTTCGAGGCAAGCAACACTGAAGCAGGCACGAGAGCACCAGCTGTCCCAGACGACTGTGTGATCACGCTCTTCATAGCCGATGTGAGCAAGACCTTTAAACAGGTCAACATTCACAAGGCTGCGGGGCCAGACGGATTACCAGGGTGTGTACTTAGAGCATGCGCGGACTGGCAAGTGTCTTCACTGACATTTTCAACCTCTCCCTGACCGAGTCTGTAATACCAACATGTTTCAAGCAGACCACCATAGTCCCTGTGCCCAAGAACACTAAGGTAACCTGCCTAAATGACTACCGACCCGTAGCACTCACGTCGGTAGCCATGAAGTGCTTTGAAAAGCTGGTCATGGCTCACATCAACACCATCATCCCGGAAACCCTAGACCGACTCCGATTCGCATACCGCCCCAACAGATCCACAGATGACCCAATCTCAATCGCACTCCACACTGCCCTTTCCCACCTGGACAAAAGGAACACCTATGTGAGAATGCTGTTCATTGACTACAGCTCAGCGTTCAACACCATAGTGCCCACAAAGCTCATCACTAAGCTAAGGACCCTGGGACTAAACACCTCCCTCTGCGACTGGATCCTGAACTTCCTGACAGGCCGCCCCCAGATGGTATGGGTAGGCAACAACACATCTGCCACGCTGATCCTCAACACGGGGGCCCCTCAGGGGTGTGTGCTTAGTCCCCTCCTGTACTCCCTGTTCACCTACGACTGCGTGGCCAAGCATGACTACAACACCATCATTAAGTTTGCTGACGACACAACAGTGGTAGGCCTGATCACTGACAATGATGAGACAGCCTATAGGGAGGAGGTCAGAGACCTGGCAGTGTGGTGCCAGGACAACAACCTCTCCCTCAATGTGAGCAAGACAAAGGAGATGATAGTGGACCACAGGAAAAGGAGAGCCGAACAGGCCCCCATTAACATCGACAGGGCTGTAGTGGAGCGGGTCGAGAGTTTCAAGTTCCTTGGTGTCCACATCACCAACAAACTATCATGGTCCAAACACACCAAGACAGTCGTGAAGAGGGCACGACAACGCCTATTCCCCCTCAGGAGACTGAAAAGATTTGGAATGTGTCCTCAGATCCTCAAAAAGTTATACAGCTGCACCATCGAGAGCATCCTGACCGGTTGCATCACCGCCTGGTATGGCAACTGCTCGGCATCCGACCGTAAGGCGCTACAGAGGTAGTGCGTACGGCCCAATACATCACTGGGGCCAAGCTTCCTGCCACCCAGGACCTATATACTAGGCGGTGTAAGAGGAAGGCCCAAAAAATTGTCAAAGGCTCCAGTCACACAAGTCATAGACTGTTCTCTCTGCTACCGCACAGCAAGCGGTACCGGAGCGCCAAGTCTAGGTCCAAAAGGCTCCTTAACAGCTTCTACCCCAAGCTATAAGACTGCTGAACAATTAATCAAATGGCCACCCAGACTATTTACATTGACCCCCCCCCCTCCCCCCTTTGTTTTTACACTGCTGCTACTCTCTGTTTATTATCTATGCATAGTCACTTTACCTACCTACATGTACAAATTACCTCGACTAACCTGTACCCCCGCACATTGACTCGGTACCGGTACCCCGGTATATAGCCTCGTTATTGTTATCTAATTTTATTGTGTTACTTTTTATTTTATTTTTTACTTTAGTTTATTTAGTAAATATTTTCTTAACTATTTCTTGAACTGCATTGTTGGTTAAGGGCTTGTAAGTAAGCATTTCACGGTAACGTCTACACCTGTTGTATTCGGTGCATGTGACAAATAAAATATTATTTGATTTCACATTATCCCTCAATAGAGTAGTTATCAGATAGCTAGGGTAGCTATAGCAACCAAACTGTCATAGTCAGTACATTATCCCTCAATAGAGTAGTTATCAGAGAGCTAGGGTAGCTATAGCAACCAAACTGTCATAGTCAGTACATTATCCCTCAATAGAGTAGTTATCAGATAGCTAGGGTAGCTATAGCAACCAAACTGTCATAGTCAGTACATTATCCCTCAATAGAGTAGTTATCAGATAGCTAGGGTAGCTATAGCAACCAAACTGTCATAGTCAGTACATTATCCCTCAATAGAGTAGTTATCAGAGAGCTAGGGGTAGCTATAGCAACCAAACTGTCATAGTCAGTACATTATCCCTCAATAGAGTAGTTATCAGATAGCTAGGGTAGCTATAGCAACCAAACTGTCATAGTCAGTACATTATCCCTCAATAGAGTAGTTATCAGAGAGCTAGGGTAGCTATAGCAACCAAACTGTCATAGTCAGTACATTATCCCTCAATAGAGTAGTTATCAGAGAGCTAGGGTAGCTATAGCAACCAAACTGTCATAGTCAGTACATTATCCCTCAATAGAGTAGTTATCAGAGAGCTAGGGGTAGCTATAGCAACCAAACTGTCATAGTCAGTACATTATCCCTCAATAGAGTAGTTATCAGATAGCTAGGGTAGCTATAGCAACCAAACTGTCATAGTCAGTACATTATCCCTCAATAGAGTAGTTATCAGAGAGCTAGGGTAGCTATAGCAACCAAACTGTCATAGTCAGTACATTATCCCTCAATAGAGTAGTTATCAGATAGCTAGGGTAGCTATAGCAACCAAACTGTCATAGTCAGTACATTATCCCTCAATAGAGTAGTTATCAGATAGCTAGGGTAGCTATAGCAACCAAACTGCTAGGAGCAAATTTTATGGGGGAGGGATAAGACTGTTACACACCCAGTAGCATACTGTAACAGGACCAGACATGGGAGAGGTGTGTGTGTGTGTTTACAGTGAGGGGAAAAAGTATTTGATCCCCTGCTGATTTTGTACGTTTGCCCACTGACTAAGAAATGATCAGTCTATAATTTTAAAGGTAGGTTTATTTGAACAGTGAGAGACAGAATAACATCAAAAAAATCCTGAAAAACGCATGTCAAAAATGTTATAAATTGATTTGCATTTTAATGAGGGAAATAAGTATTTGACCCCCTCTCAATCAGAAAGATTTCTGGCTCCCAGGTGTCTTTTATACAGGTAATGAGCTGAGATTAGGAGCACACTCTTAAAGGGAGTGCTCCTAATCTCAGATTGTTACCTGTATAAAAGACACCTGTCCACAGAAGCAATCAATCAATCAGATTCCAAACTCTCCACCATGGCCAAGACCAAAGAGCTCCCCAAGGATGTCAGGGACAAGATTTTAGACCTACACAAGGCTGGAATGGGCTACAAGACCATCGCCAAGCAGCTTGGTGAGAAGGTGACAACAGTTGGTGCGATTATTCTCAAATGGAAGAAACACAAAAGAACTGTCAATCTCCCTCGGCCTGGGGCTCCATGCAAGATCTCACCTTGTGGAGTTGCAATGATCATGAGAACGGTGAGGAATCAGCCCAGAACTACAAGGGAGGATCTTGTCAATGATCTCAAGGCAGCTGGGACCATAGTCACCAAGAAAACAATTGGTAACACACTACGCCGTGAAGGACTGAAATCCTGCAGCGCCCGCAAGGTCCCCCTGCTCAAGAAAGCACGTATACAGGGCCATCTGAAGGATTCAGAGGAGAACTGGGTGAAAGTGTTGTGGTCAGATGAGACCAAAATCGAGCTCTTTGGCATCAACTTAACTCGTCGTGTTTGGAGGAGGAGGAATGCTACCAATGACCCCAAGAACACCATCCCCACCGTCAAACATGGAGGTGGAAACATTATGCTTTGGGGGTGTTTTTCTCCTAAGGGGACAGGACAACTTCACCGCATCAAAGGGACGATGGACGGGGCCATGTACTGTCAAATCTTGGGTGAGAACCTCCTTCCCTCAGCCAGGGCATTGAAAATGGGTCGTGGATGGGTATTCTAGCATGACAATGACCCAAAACACACGGCCAAGGCAACAAAGGAGTGGCTCAAGAAGAAGGACATTAAGGTCCTGGAGTGGCCTAGCCAGTCTCCAGACCTTAATCCCATAGAAAATCTGTGGAGGGAGCTGAAGGTTCGAGTTGCCAAACGTCAGCCTCGAAACCTTAATGACTTGGAGAAGATCTGCAAAGAGGAGTGGAACAAAATCCCTCCTGAGATATGTGCATACCTGGCGGCCAACTACAAGAAACGTCTGACCTCTGTGATTGCCGACAAGGGTTTTGCCACCAAGTACTAAGTCATGTTTTGCAGAGGGGTCAAATACTTATTTCCCTCATTAAAATGCAAATCAATTTATAACATTTTTGACATGCGTTTTTCTGGATTTTTGTTGTTGTTATTCTGTCTCTCACTGTTCAAATAAACCTACCATTAAAATTATAGACTGATCATGTCTTTGTCAGTGGGCAAACGTACCAAAATCAGCAGGGGATCAAATACTTTTTTTCCCCTCACTGTATGTGTGTGTGTATCCAGCTACTCACAGTACTATGAGTGTTAGGATGCAGTAGAAGACTTGACTGTGTAGTATAATGTTGATGATCCATGCCAGCCAGGCAGAGTGGGGTTGAGAGGCCTGTGGGGAGGCTATCCACTGGTCTACAGCCTGTATGACCCAGCCTTGGCCCTGGAACGGACCACACACACTAGAGGGAGGGAGACTGGGGACAGAGACGGGACAGGTAGGGTTAGTGTGTGTGTCTATCCACTGGTCTACTGTCACTGTGAGAAAGTTACAGATGCACAAATATCATACCCCTCCAAAAAAAATGCTAACTTCCCCTGTTTTTCGTAATGGTGAGTGGTTAACGTGTCCTGGGGGGGTATGTGCGTCTGTAACTTTCTCACTCGACATTATTCACGATTCCTTCAGGACTATCCGTAATCATGGTGGCATCCACATTAATGTAGAAGTGTTTAGAAACATATTCTATTCTTATTTACAATAAAAGTGACTCCAAAATGACACAATACATTATTTACCATTCATTTCTATTGGGCACAAAATAATCTGAAACACAACCAAAGCAAACAGCAAATGCATCCAACAAGTTTGTAGAGTCACAAGCCTGATGTAGTCATTGTGTGCTCGGAATATGGGACCAAATACTAAACCTTTGACTACTTTAATACACACATAAGTGAATTTGTCCTAATACTTTTGTTCCCCTAAAATGGGAGGACTATGTACAAAAAGCGCTGTAATTTCTAAACGGTTCATCCGATATGGATGAAAATACCCTCAAGTTAAAGCTGACAGTCTGCACTTTAACATCGTAGTGATTGTATCATTTCAAATCCAAAGTGCTGGAGTACAGAGCCAAATCAACAACCAAACTTGTCACTGTCCCAGTACTTTTGGAGCTCCCTGTACTTCCTGTGCTTGGCCCTCCTATGTTGAACATAATAAACGGCTCCCTTTCCTCCGGATGTGAACCAAACTCACTAAAAGTGGCAGTAATAAAGCCTCTCCAGAAAAAGCCAAACCTTGACCCAGAAAATTAAAATAACTATCGGTCTATATATCGAATCTCTCATTCCTCTCAAAAACGTTTGAAAAAGCTGTTTCAACCGCCTTCCTGAAGACAAATAATGTATACGAAACGCTCCAGTCTGGTTTTAGATCCCATCATAGTACTGAGACCGCACTCGTGAAGGTGGTGAATGACCTTTTAATGGCGTCAGACCAAGTCTCTGCATCTGTCCTTGTGCTCCTAGACCTTAGTGCCGCTTTCAACACCATCGATCACCACATTCTTTTGGAGAGATTGGAAACCATAAATAGTCTACGCGAACAAGTTCTTCCCTGGTTTAGATCTTATCTGTTGTAAAGATATTAGTTTGTCTCAGTGGATGGTTTTTGTCTTCTGACATTCGGTGTTCCTCAAGGTTCCGTTCTAGGACCACTATTGTTTTCACTATATATTCTACCTCTTGGTGATGTCATTCGGAAACACAATGCCAACTTTCACTGCTATGCGGACGACACACAGCTGTACATTTCGATGAAACATGGTGAAGCCCCAAAATTGCCAACCACAAAGCCTGTGTTTTAGACATATGGAAGTGTATGGTGGCAAATGTTTAACTTTTAAACTTTGACAAAACAGAGATGCTAGTTCTAGGTCCCAAGAAACAAAGAGATCTGTTGTCGGATCTGACAATGAATCTCGATGGTTGTACAATAGTCTTAAATAAAACTGTGAAGGACCTCGGCGTTACTCTGGACCCTGATCTCTCTTTTGACGAACATATAAAAAATATATAATTTTTTTCCATCTTCGTAACATTGCAAGAATCTGAACGTTTTTGTCCAAAAATTATGCAGAAAGGCTAATCCACGCTTTTGTCACTTCAAGATTAGACTACTGCAATGCTCTACTCTCCGGCTACCCGGATAAAGCACTAAATAAACTTCAGCTAGTGCTAAACACGTCTGCTAGAATCTTGACATATTACATCATATTACACCAATCATATTACACCAGTGCCAGACTCTACACTGGCTTCCTGTTAAGGCTAGGGCTGATTTCAAGATTTTACAGCTAACTTACAAAGCATTACATGGGCTTGCTCCTACTTATCTCTCAGAGTTGGTCCTGTTATACATACCTACATGTACGCTACGGTCACAAGATACAGGCCTCCTTATTGTCCCTAGAATTTCTAAGCAAACAGCTGGAGGCAGGGCCTCCTCCTATAGAGCTACATTTTTATGGAATGCTCTGCCTTTCCATGTGAGAGACGCAGACTCAGTCTCGACCTTTAAGTCTTTACTGAAGACTCATCTCTTCAGTAGGTCCTATGATTGAGTGTAGTCTGGCCCAGGGGTGTGAAGGTGAACGGCAAGGCACTGGAACCATCCTTGCGTTCACTGCCTGGCCGGCTCCCCTCTCTCCACTGGGATTCTCTGTCTCTGACCCTATTACGGGGGCTGAGTCACTGACTTGCTCCCATGCCGTCCCTAGGAGGGTGCATCACGTCATGCCAGGCTTTGTCGCTATACTCGACGTGAGTGGGTTGAGTCACTGACGGGATCTTCCTGTCCAGTTTTGCGCCCCCTTGGGCTCGTGTGGTGGGGAGATCTTCGTGGACTATACTTGGCTTTGTCTCAGGGTAGTAAGTTAGTGGTCTGTTGATATCCCTATTGGTGGTGTGGGGGCTGTGCTTTGGCAAAGTGGGTGGGGTTATATCCTGCCTGGTTGGCCCCGTCCAGAGGTAACCACGACCCCCCCCCCCCCCTGTCTCAGTCCCCAGTCTCTATTCTGTAATAGTCTATGTGCCGGGGGGCTAGGGTCAGTCTGTCCTATCTGGTGTAATTCTCCTATCTTATCTGGTGTCGTGTGTGATCTTAGGTATGCTCTCTCTCTCTCATCCTCTCTTTGTCTCTCCTCCCGGAGGACCTGAGCCCTAGGACCATGCCTCAGGACTACCTGGCCTGACGATTCCTGGCTGTAACCACTGTGAATATTATTTGATCCTGATGGTCATCTATGAACGTTTGATCATCTTGAAGAACGATTTGGCCTTAATGGCCATGTACTGTTATAATCTCCACCTGGCACAGCCAGAAGGGGACTGGCCACCCCTCAGAGTCTGGTTCCTCTCTAGGTTTCTTCCTAGGTTTCTGCCTTTCTATGGAGTTTTTTCCTAGCCACCGTGCTTCTGCATTGCTTGTTGCTTGGGGTTTTAGGCTGGGTTTCTGTATAAGCACTTAGTGACAACTGCTGATGTAAAAAAGGTATTTATAAATACATTTAATTGAATTTGATTGAGAGGAAGAGGAGGGGAGAGAGAGAGGAAGAGGAGAGGAGGGGAGAGAGGAGGAGAGGAGAGGAAAGGAGAGAGGAGCAGTGGAAACTAGACAAGAGGAGAAAGGAGAGGTGTGTGTATAAAATACATTGTATTGATTGTGTGTGTGTGTGTGTGTGTGTGTGTGTGTGTGTGTACCCCCAGAGTGTGTATGCCAGCAGGGCCAGAGTCCCCAGGTAAAACGGGAGGAAGAGGAGGGAGATGAAGAGCGTCTGCATCTGACCCACCCTCCTCCAGGAGCTGGGAGGATGGCAGCTTCTTATACTGGTCTAGGAGAGAGGGAGGGAGAGGGAGGGAGAAGGGGGGAGAGAGAAGGGGGAGGGGGGGGAGGGAGGGAGGGAGGGAGAGAGAAGGGGGGGAGAGAAGGAGGGGTGGGAGAGAGGGAGGGGAGGGAGGGCGGGAGAGAGAAGGGGGGAAGGGAGAAGAGAGGGGGGAGAGAGGGGAGGGAGGGAGGGGGGGGAGGAGGGAGGGAGGGAGGGAGGGAGAGATAAGGGGGGAGAGAAGGAGGGTGGGAGAGAGGGAGGGTGGGGAGAGGAGAGGGAGGGAAGGGTGGGAGGAGAGGGGAGGGAGAAGGGGGGGAGAGAGAAGGGGGGAGGAGAGACGGAGGTGGGGGGGAGAGGAAGGGGGGGGAGGAGAGGAGGGTGGGAAGAGAGGGAGGGTGGGAGAGAGAGACGAGGGTAGGGGAGGGAGGGGCGAAGGGGGAGAGAGGGGAGGGAGAAATGGAAGGGGGGAGAGAGGAAGGGGGAGAGAGGGGAGGGAGGGAGGGAGGGAGGGAGGGAGGGAGAGAGAGAGGGAGAGAGAGAGAGAGAGAGAAGGGGGGGAGAGAAGGAGGGTGGGAGAGAGGGAGGGTGGGAGAGAGAAGAGGGAGGGAGGGAGGGAGAAGGGGGAGAGAGGGAGGGAGAGAGAAGGGGGGAAAGAGGGAGGGAGAGAGGTAGGGAGGGAGAGGGAGGGAGAGAGAAGGGGGGAGAGAAGGAGGGGGGGAGAGAAGGAGGGGGGTCTGCACGTGAGTCTTGAGACTGCGTCTCAAAAGGCACCCTCGTATCCATTGTGTAGTGCACTACTTTCCACCAGGGCTCTATGGATGAAACATACCTACCTTCTTTAGCTGGAAGATTAGGAAGAGTTTGATGAGCTGAATGACAGGGAGGAGAGGAGAGAAGTACACCCCTATCCTAGAGAGAGAGAGAGAGACATCGTCACAACACTGTATATAGACATAATATGACATTTGAAATGTGTCTATTCCTTTGAAACTTGTGAGTGTAATGTTTACTGTTCATTTTCATTGTTTAGCTCACTTTTGTTTATTATCTACTTCACTTGCTTTGGCAATGTTAACATATGTTTCCCATGCCAATAAAGCCCTTTGAATTTAACTGAATTGAATTGAGAGAGAGAAAATGCTGTAGAGAGAACATGTACATCCATTTTGCTGTGAAATGTTCGCCATTCACATCTCATATGTTGCCTCACTATAATATTTTATCATGATACGTTAATACATACATACTGTGTTCAGTACTGCCGAAAATATCCACGGTGGTGGGCATGCTAATCGATTAGCGTGCTAATCGAAACCCATGTTAAGTCAATGGGACAAACAGGCTATTTCGCTAGTTAGCTAGCCATGTAGATTTTACATTTAGTTTTTTGTATGTGGAACTAGCTGGCTAGCTAGATGAACACCATGTACACTTCCTAGCTTAGAATTATGAAGTAAAAAGTAATTTATTTACTGCTTGTTTGTTAGCTGATGAATTTCAGTACAGCTGTGGCAGTCAACAGGAATTAACAAGCAATAGGAGATAAATTAATAAATTGAGAAATTAAACTATTGTTTAATTATGTCCATGTTGCTCATCATTGCTCCAGTGTCTCATACCCCACTCTGTTGCCAGCAACATTGCTCGGCAATATGGCAATATTGTCAAAACAAATGGCCAGTGTATCATAAGCTTTAGGTCTAGACTAAAGAAGAGTCTGGTATAGATACAATAAACTAGACAGGAACTGACAGAGAGGATATAGATATAGGTTACTAGAGAGGCAGCGAGGGTATAGATATAGGTTACTAGAGAGGCAGAGAGGGTATAGATATAGGTTACTAGAGAGGCAGCGAGGGTATAGATATAGGTTACTAGAGAAGCAGAGAGGGTATAGATATAGGTTACTAGAGAGGCTGAGAGGGTATAGATATAGGTTACTAGAGAGGCAGAGAGGGTATAGATATAGGTTACTAGAGAAGTAGAGAGGCAGCGAGGGTATAGATATAGATTACTAGAGAGGCAGCGAGGGTAGAGATATAGATTACTAGAGAAGCAGAGAGGGTATAGATATAGGTTACTAGAGAGGCAGCGAGGGTATAGATATAGGTTATTAGAGAAGCAGAGAGGGTATAGATATAGGTTACTAGAGAGGCAGAGAGGGTATAGATATAGGTTACTAGAGAGGCAGAGAGGGTATAGATATAGGTTACTAGAGAAGCAGAGAGGGTATAGATATAGGTTACTAGAGAGGCAGAGAGGGTATAGATATAGGTTACTAGAGAGGCAGAGAGGGTATAGATATAGATTACTAGAGAGGCAGCGAGGGTATAGATATAGGTTATTAGAGAAGCAGAGAGGGTATAGATATAGGTTACTAGAGAGGCAGCGAGGGTATAGATATAGGTTATTAGAGAAGCAGAGAGGGTATAGATATAGGTTACTAGAGAGGCAGCGAGGGTATAGATATAGGTTACTAGAGAGGCAGAGAGGGTATAGATATAGGTTACTAGAGAGGCAGAGAGGGTATAGATATAGGTTACTAGAGAAGCAGAGAGGGTATAGATATAGGTTACTAGAGAGGCAGAGAGGGTATAGATATAGGTTATTAGAGAAGCAGAGAGGGTATAGATATAGGTTACTAGAGAGGCAGCGAGGGTATAGATATAGGTTATTAGAGAAGCAGAGAGGGTATAGATATAGGTTACTAGAGAGGCAGCGAGGGTATAGATATAGGTTACTAGAGAGGCAGAGAGGGTATAGATATAGGTTACTAGAGAGGCAGAGAGGGTATAGATATAGGTTACTAGAGAAGCAGAGAGGGTATAGATATAGGTTACTAGAGAGGCAGAGAGGGTATATATATAGGTTACTAGAGAGGCAGAGAGGGTATAGATATAGGTTACTAGAGAGGCAGAGAGGGTATAGATATAGGTTACTAGAGAGGCAGCGAGGGTATAGATATAGGTTATTAGAGAGGCAGAGAGGGTATAGATATAGGTTATTAGAGAGGGTATAGATATAGGTTACTAGAGAGGCAGAGAGGGTATAGATATAGGTTACTAGAGAGGCAGAGATGGTATAGATATAGGTTACTAGAGAGGCAGCGAGGGTATATATATAGGTTACTAGAGAGGCAGAGAGGGTATAGATATAGGTTACTAGAGAGGCAGCGAGGGTATAGATATAGGTTACTAGAGAGGCAGAGAGGGTATAGATATAGGTTACTAGAGAGGCAGCGAGGGTATATATATAGGTTACTAGAGAGGCAGAGAGGGTATAGATATAGGTTACTAGAGAGGCAGCGAGGGTATAGATATAGGTTACTAGAGAGGCAGAGAGGGTATAGATATAGGTTACTAGAGAGGCAGCGAGGGTATATATATAGGTTACTAGAGAGGCAGAGAGGGGTATAGATATAGGTTACTAGAGAGGCAGCGAGGGTATATATATAGGTTACTAGAGAGGCAGAGAGGGTATAGATATAGGTTACTAGAGAGGCAGCGAGGGTATAGATATAGGTTACTAGAGAGGCAGAGAGGGTATAGATATAGGTTACTAGAGAGGCAGCGAGGGTAGAGATATAGGTTACTAGAGAGGCAGCGAGGGTAGAGATATAGGTTACTAGAGAGGCAGCGAGGGTATAGATATAGGTTACTAGAGAAGTAGAGAGGCAGAGAGGGTATAGATATAGGTTACTAGAGAGGCAGAGAGGGTATAGATATAGGTTACTAGAGAAGTAGAGAGGCAGAGAGGGTATAGATATAGGTTACTAGAGAGGCAGCGAGGGTATAGATATAGGTTACTAGAGAGGCAGAGAGGGTATAGATATAGGTTACTAGAGAGGCAGCGAGGGTATAGATATAGGTTACTAGAGAGGCTGAGAGGGTATAGATATAGATTACTAGAGAAGTAGAGAGGCAGAGAGGGTATAGATATAGGTTACTAGAGAGGCAGCGAGGGTATAGATATAGGTTACTAGAGAGGCAGAGAGGGTATAGATATAGGTTACTAGAGAGGCAGCGAGGGTATAGATATAGGTTACTAGAGAGGCTGAGAGGGTATAGATATAGGTTACTAGAGAGGCAGCGAGGGTAGAGATATAGATTACTAGAGAGGCAGAGAGGGTAGAGATATAGATTACTAGAGAGGCAGAGAGGGTAGAGATATAGATTACTAGAGAGGCAGAGAGGGTAGAGATATAGATTACTAGAGAGGCAGAGAGGGTAGAGATATAGATTACTAGAGAGGCAGCGAGGGTAGAGATATAGGTTACTAGAGAGGCAGCGAGGGTAGAGATATAGGTTACTGTACCAGGCCAGGGTCTGAGCGTTGATCAGATCTAGAACGTTCCTGGCCACGTCAAACTCTGCCGGCTTCACACCAACACACCTGGTGGAAATCACACTAAAGACAACAACAGGTGTGCTTGAGTCCATGTTGGAGTTAAATATAAAACAATCTATACAAGTGTATTTTTGTAAATATGCTAAACATGTGGAAAAAACACAGATAGATGGACATACTTGTAGAGTGTGTACAAAACATTAAGAACACCTGCTCTTTCCATGACATAGACTGACCAGGTGAATCCAGGTGAAAGCTATGATCCCTTATTGATGTCACTTGTTAAATCCACTTCAATCAGTGTAGATGGAGGGGAGGAAACAGGTTAAAGAAGGATTTTTAACCCTTGAGACAATTGAGACATGGATTGTGTATGTGTGCCATTCGGAGGGTGAATGGGCAAGACAAAAGATTGAAGTGCCTTTGAACGGGGTATGGTAGTAGGTGTCAGGCGCACCGGTTTGTGTCAAGAACTGCAACGCCGCTGGGTTTTTCATGCTCAACAGTTCCCGTGTGTCTCAAGAATGGTCCACCATCCAAAGGACATCCAGGCAACTTGACACAACTGTGGGAAGCACTGGAGTCAACATGGGCCAGCATCCCTGTGGAACGCTTTTGACACCTTGTAGAGTCCATGCCCCGACGAATTGAGGCTGTTCTGAGGGCAAAAGGAGGTGCAACTCAATATTAGGAAGGTGTTCTTAATGTTTTGTACACTCAGTGTCTATAGTACTAGACTAGTTTATAACATTAATGTGCACCACAGTTCTTTTTTAATTACCCTTTAAACCACTACTACTAGTTTGATCGGTTGTAGACATCAATTGTCCCATTAACAATCATCCATATTTCAAACTTCACATTTCTCTAGTATAGGCTAGTTATCGTAATGAACGATATCAGCCAAATGCCTGTGATTAGTGGTCGGTATGGTCAGTGTTGATCATCCCAACTCCAATATGAGTATAGTATAGTATAGTATAGTAAGGACAGCTGTACTTGTAGAGGTATTCTCCACAGTATAGTAATATAGTATATTATAGTATAGTAAGGACATATGTACTTGCAGAGGTATATTAGTATAGTATAGTATAGTATAGTATAGTATAGTATAGTATAGTATAGTATAGTATAGTAAGGACAGCTGTACTTGTAGAGGTATTCTCCACAGTATAGTAATATAGTATATTATAGTATAGTAAGGACATCTATACTTGCAGTGTAGTATAGTATAGTATAGTATAGTATAGTATAGTATAGTATAGTATAGTATAGTAAGGACAGCTGTACTTGTAGAGGTATTCTCCACAGTATAGTAATATAGTATATTATAGTATAGTAAGGACATCTGTACTTGCAGAGGTATGTTAGTATAGTATAGTATAGTATAGTATAGTATAGTATAGTATAGTATAGTATAGTATAGTATAGTATAGTATAGTATAGTAAGGACAGCTGTACTTGTAGAGGTATTCTCCACAGTATAGTAATATAGTATAGTATAGTATAGTAAGGACATCTGTAGTTGTAGAGGTATTCTCCACAGTATAGTATATTATAGTATAGTAAGGACAGCTGTAGTTGTAGAGGTATTCTCCACTGTATAGTATAGTATAGTATAGTAAGGACATCTGTACTTGCAGAGGTATATTAGTATAGTATAGTATAGTATAGTATAGTATAGCATAGTATAGTAAGGACAGCTGTACTTGTAGAGGTATTCTCCACAGTATAGTAATATAGTATATTATAGTATAGTAAGGACAGCTGTACTTGCAGAGGTATATTAGTATAGTATAGTATAGTATAGTATAGTATAGTAAGGACAGCTGTACTTGTAGAGGTATTCTCCACATTATAGTAATATAGTATATTATAGTATAGCAAGGACATCTGTACTTGCAGAGGTATATTAGTATAGTATAGTATAGTATAGTATAGTATAGTAAGGACAGCTGTACTTGTAGAGGTATTCTCCACAGTATAGTAATATAGTATATTATAGTATAGTAAGGACATCTGTACTTGCAGAGGTATATTAGTATAGTATAGTATAGTATAGTATAGTATAGTATAGTATAGTAAGGACAGCTGTACTTGTAGAGGTATTCTCCACAGTATAGTAATATAGTATATTATAGTATAGTAAGGACATCTGTACTTGCAGAGGTCTATTAGTATAGTATAGTATAGTATAGTATAGTAAGGACAGCTGTACTTGTAGAGGTATTCTCCACAGAAGGATCCCAGCAGACAGAAGATGAAGTCCACTATCACCAGCCGGTACACATCCTGACCAACATACGACTCCCAGCACTGTAGAACGCACACACACACGCGCACACACACGCGCACACACACACACACGCACACACACACACACACACACACACCACAAAAATACACTTAGTGCAGAATAGAAAGAGGTTTCCTCAAGTCACTGAGTCACACCCTATTCCCTACATAGTGCACCACTTTTGACCACTACTACCCTATAGGCCCTTGTCAAAAGTAGTGCACTATAAAGGGAATAGGGCGCCATTTGAGACTCAGCCAATATGTGTGTACTAGTTCTTACCGAGACGTTGCTGGGGACCAGTGCTAACCAGTGGTAACACAACACCGCTAGGATAGACACCTTCAGCATCGCATTCCTACAGTCACAGTAGAGGACAATAACATGTTACCTACTATTGGGGGTCGGGGGTGTGTAGCTGTGTGTGTGTGTGTGTGTGTGTGTTAGTATTACCTGAGTACCGTGACGTAGACACGCGTGTGTGTGCTATCGTAGCGCTCCAGTCTCTGTGTGTGTGTTACCTGAGTACCGTGACGTAGACACGCGCGTGTGTGTGTGCTATCGTAGCGCTCCAGTCTCTGTGTGTGTGTGTGTGTTACCTGAGTACCGTGACGTAGACACGTGTGTGTGTGCTATCGTAGCGCTCCAGTCTCTGTGTGTGTTACCTGAGTACCGTGACGTAGACACGCGTGTGCGCGCTATCGTAGCGCTCCAGTCTCTGTGTGTGTGTGTTACCTGAGTACCGTGACGTAGACACGCGTGTGTGTGCTATCGTAGCGCTCCAGTCTCTGTGTGTGTGTTACCTGAGTACCGTGACGTAGACACGCGTGTGCGTGCTATCGTAGCGCTCCAGTCTCTGTGTGTATGTGTGTGTTACCTGAGTACCGTGACGTAGACACGCGTGTGTGTGCTATCGTAGCGCTCCAGTCTCTGTGTGTGTGTGTGTTACCTGAGTACCGTGACGTAGACACGCGTGTGCGCGCTATCGTAGCGCTCCATCTCTGTGTGTGTGTTACCTGAGTACCGTGACGTAGACGCGCGTGTGTGTGTGCTATCGTAGCGCTCCAGTCTCTGTGTGTGTGTTACCTGAGTACCGTGACGTAGACACGCGTGTGCGCGCTATCGTAGCGCTCCAGTCTCTGTGTGTGTGTGTTACCTGAGTACCGTGACGTAGACACGCGTGTGTGTGCTATCGTAGCGCTCCAGTCTCTGTGTGTGTGTTACCTGAGTACCGTGACGTAGACACGCGTGTGCGTGCTATCGTAGCGCTCCAGTCTCTGTGTGTGTGTGTGTTACCTGAGTACCGTGACGTAGACACGTGTGTGTGTGCTATCGTAGCGGTCCAGTCTCTGTGTGTGTGTTACCTGAGTACCGTGACGTAGACACGCGCGTGTGTGCTATCGTAGCGCTCCAGTCTCTGTGTGTGTGTGATTGTGTTACCTGAGTACCGTGACGTAGACACGCGTGTGTGTGCTATCGTAGCGGTCCAGTCTCTGTGTGTGTGTTACCTGAGTACCGTGACGTAGACACGCGCGTGTGTGTGTGCTATCGTAGCGCTCCAGTCTCTGTGTGTGTGTGTGTTACCTGAGTACCGTGACGTAGACACGCGTGTGTGTGCTATCGTAGCGCTCCAGTCTCTGTGTGTGTGTTACCTGAGTACCGTGACGTAGACACGTGTGTGTGTGCTATCGTAGCGCTCCAGTCTCTGTGTGTGTGTGTGTTACCTGAGTACCGTGACGTAGACGCGCGTGTGTGTGTGCTATCGTAGCGGTCCAGTCTCTGTGTGTGTGTTACCTGAGTACCGTGACGTAGACACGCGCATGTGTGCTATCGTAGCGCTCCAGTCTCTGTGTGTGTGTGTGTGTGTTACCTGAGTACCGTGACGTAGACACGCGTGTGTGTGCTATCGTAGCGGTCCAGTCTCTGTGTGTGTGTTACCTGAGTACCGTGACGTAGACACGCGTGTGTGTGTGCTATCGTAGCGCTCCAGTCTCTGTGTGTGTGTGTGTGTGTACCTGAGTACCGTGACGTAGACAGCGTGTGTGTGTGCTATCGTAGCGCTCCAGTCTCTGTGTGTGTGTTACCTGAGTACCGTGACGTAGACACGTGTGTGTATGTAGCGTGTATAGTAGACGTCCCAGTCTTGTGTGTGTGGTGTGTGTTACCTGAGTACCGTGACGTAGACACGCGTGTGCGTGCTATCGTAGCGCTCCAGTCTCTGTGTGTGTGTGTGTGTTACCTGAGTACCGTGTGACATAGCCCGCGCGTTGTGTGTGTGCTATCAGTAGCGCTCCAGTCTCTGTGTGTGTGTGTGTGTTACCTGAGTACAGTGACGTAGACACCGTGTGGTGTGCTATCGTAGCGCTCCAGTCTCTGTTGTGTGTGTACCTGAGTACCGTGACGTAGACACGCGTGTGCGCGCTATCGTAGCGCTCCAGTCTCTGTGTGTGTGTGTTACCTGAGTACCGTGACGTAGACACGCGTGTGTGTGCTATCGTAGCGCTCCAGTCTCTGTGTGTGTGTTACCTGAGTACCGTGACGTAGACACGCGTGTGCGTGCTATCGTAGCGCTCCAGTCTCTGTGTGTGTGTGTGTGTTACCTGAGTACCGTGACGTAGACACGCGTGTGTGTGCTATCGTAGCGCTCCAGTCTCTGTGTGTGTGTGTGTTACCTGAGTACCGTGACGTAGACACGCGTGTGCGCGCTATCGTAGCGCTCCATCTCTGTGTGTGTGTTACCTGAGTACCGTGACGTAGACGCGCGTGTGTGTGTGCTATCGTAGCGCTCCAGTCTCTGTGTGTGTGTTACCTGAGTACCGTGACGTAGACACGCGTGTGCGCGCTATCGTAGCGCTCCAGTCTCTGTGTGTGTGTGTTACCTGAGTACCGTGACGTAGACGCGCGTGTTTGTGTGCTATCGTAGCGGTCCAGTCTCTGTGTGTGTGTTACCTGAGTACCGTGACGTAGACACGCGCGTGTGTGCTATCGTAGCACTCCAGTCTCTGTGTGTGTGTGTTACCTGAGTACCGTGACGTAGACACGCGTGTGTGTGCTATCGTAGCGGTCCAGTCTCTGTGTGTGTGTTACCTGAGTACCGTGACGTAGACACGCGCGTGTGTGTGTGCTATCGTAGCGCTCCAGTCTCTGTGTGTGTGTGTGTGTTACCTGAGTACCGTGACGTAGACACGCGTGTGTGTGCTATCGTAGCGCTCCAGTCTCTGTGTGTGTGTTACCTGAGTACCGTGACGTAGACACGTGTGTGTGTGCTATCGTAGCGCTCCAGTCTCTGTGTGTGTGTGTGTGTGTTACCTGAGTACCGTGACGTAGACACGCGTGTGCGTGCTATCGTAGCGCTCCAGTCTCTGTGTGTGTGTGTGTGTTACCTGAGTACCGTGACGTAGACACGCGCGTGTGTGTGTGCTATCGTAGCGCTCCAGTCTCTGTGTGTGTGTGTGTGTTACCTGAGTACCGTGACGTAGACACGTGTGTGTGTGCTATCGTAGCGCTCCAGTCTCTGTGTGTGTTACCTGAGTACCGTGACGTAGACACGCGTGTGCGCGCTATCGTAGCGCTCCAGTCTCTGTGTGTGTGTGTTACCTGAGTACCGTGACGTAGACACGCGTGTGTGTGCTATCGTAGCGCTCCAGTCTCTGTGTGTGTGTTACCTGAGTACCGTGACGTAGACACGCGTGTGCGTGCTATCGTAGCGCTCCAGTCTCTGTGTGTGTGTTACCTGAGTACCGTGACGTAGACACGCATGTGTGTGCTATCGTAGCGCTCCAGTCTCTGTGTGTGTGTGTGTTACCTGAGTACCGTGACGTAGACACGCGTGTGCGCGCTATCGTAGCGCTCCATCTCTGTGTGTGTGTTACCTGAGTACCGTGACGTAGACGCGCGTGTGTGTGTGCTATCGTAGCGCTCCAGTCTCTGTGTGTGTGTTACCTGAGTACCATGACGTAGACACGCGTGTGCGCGCTATCGTAGCGCTCCAGTCTCTGTGTGTGTGTGTTACCTGAGTACCGTGACGTAGACACGTGTGTGTGTGCTATCGTAGCGCTCCAGTCTCTGTGTGTGTGTGTGTGTTACCTGAGTACCGTGACGTAGACACGCGTGTGTGTGCTATCGTAGCGCTCCAGTCTCTGTGTGTGTGTGTGTGTGTTACCTGAGTACCGTGACGTAGACACGCGCGTGTGTGTGTGCTATCGTAGCGCTCCAGTCTCTGTGTGTGTGTGTGTGTTACCTGAGTACCGTGACGTAGACACGTGTGTGTGTGTGCTATCGTAGCGCTCCAGTCTCTGTGTGTGTTACCTGAGTACCGTGACGTAGACACGCGTGTGCGCGCTATCGTAGCGCTCCAGTCTCTGTGTGTGTGTGTTACCTGAGTACCGTGACGTAGACACGCGTGTGTGTGCTATCGTAGCGCTCCAGTCTCTGTGTGTGTGTTACCTGAGTACCGTGACGTAGACACGCGTGTGCGTGCTATCGTAGCGCTCCAGTCTCTGTGTGTGTGTGTGTGTTACCTGAGTACCGTGACGTAGACACGCGTGTGTGTGCTATCGTAGCGCTCCAGTCTCTGTGTGTGTGTGTGTTACCTGAGTACCGTGACGTAGACACGCGTGTGCGCGCTATCGTAGCGCTCCATCTCTGTGTGTGTGTTACCTGAGTACCGTGACGTAGACGCGCGTGTGTGTGTGCTATCGTAGCGCTCCAGTCTCTGTGTGTGTGTTACCTGAGTACCGTGACGTAGACACGCGTGTGCGCGCTATCGTAGCGCTCCAGTCTCTGTGTGTGTGTGTTACCTGAGTACCGTGACGTAGACGCGCGTGTGTGTGTGCTATCGTAGCGGTCCAGTCTCTGTGTGTGTGTTACCTGAGTACCGTGACGTAGACACGCGCGTGTGTGCTATCGTAGCACTCCAGTCTCTGTGTGTGTGTGTTACCTGAGTACCGTGACGTAGACACGCGTGTGTGTGCTATCGTAGCGGTCCAGTCTCTGTGTGTGTGTTACCTGAGTACCGTGACGTAGACGCGCGTGTGTGTGTGCTATCGTAGCGCTCCAGTCTCTGTGTGTGTGTGTGTGTTACCTGAGTACCGTGACGTAGACACGCGTGTGTGTGCTATCGTAGCGCTCCAGTCTCTGTGTGTGTGTTACCTGAGTACCGTGACGTAGACACGTGTGTGTGTGCTATCGTAGCGCTCCAGTCTCTGTGTGTGTGTGTGTGTTACCTGAGTACCGTGACGTAGACACGCGTGTGCGTGCTATCGTAGCGCTCCAGTCTCTGTGTGTGTGTGTGTGTTACCTGAGTACCGTGACGTAGACACGCGCGTGTGTGTGTGCTATCGTAGCGCTCCAGTCTGTGTGTGTGTGTGTGTGTTACCTGAGTACCGTGACGTAGACACGTGTGTGTGTGCTATCGTAGCGCTCCAGTCTCTGTGTGTGTTACCTGAGTACCGTGACGTAGACACGCGTGTGCGCGCTATCGTAGCGCTCCAGTCTCTGTGTGTGTGTGTTACCTGAGTACCGTGACGTAGACACGCGTGTGTGTGCTATCGTAGCGCTCCAGTCTCTGTGTGTGTGTTACCTGAGTACCGTGACGTAGACACGCGTGTGCTTGCTATCGTAGCGCTCCAGTCTCTGTGTGTGTGTTACCTGAGTACCGTGACGTAGACACGCGTGTGTGTGCTATCGTAGCGCTCCAGTCTCTGTGTGTGTGTGTGTTACCTGAGTACCGTGACGTAGACACGCGTGTGCGCGCTATCGTAGCGCTCCATCTCTGTGTGTGTGTTACCTGAGTACCGTGACGTAGACGCGCGTGTGTGTGTGCTATCGTAGCGCTCCAGTCTCTGTGTGTGTGTTACCTGAGTACCGTGACGTAGACACGTGTGTGTGTGCTATCGTAGCGCTCCAGTCTCTGTGTGTGTGTGTGTGTTACCTGAGTACCGTGACGTAGACACGCGTGTGTGTGCTATCGTAGCGCTCCAGTCTCTGTGTGTGTGTGTGTGTTACCTGAGTACCGTGACGTAGACACGCGCGTGTGTGTGTGCTATCGTAGCGCTCCAGTCTCTGTGTGTGTGTGTGTGTTACCTGAGTACCGTGACGTAGACACGTGTGTGTGTGCTATCGTAGCGCTCCAGTCTCTGTGTGTGTTACCTGAGTACCGTGACGTAGACACGCGTGTGCGCGCTATCGTAGCGCTCCAGTCTCTGTGTGTGTGTGTTACCTGAGTACCGTGACGTAGACACGCGTGTGTGTGCTATCGTAGCGCTCCAGTCTCTGTGTGTGTGTTACCTGAGTACCGTGACGTAGACACGCGTGTGCGTGCTATCGTAGCGCTCCAGTCTCTGTGTGTGTGTGTGTGTGTGTTACCTGAGTACCGTGACGTAGACACGCGTGTGTGTGCTATCGTAGCGCTCCAGTCTCTGTGTGTGTGTGTGTTACCTGAGTACCGTGACGTAGACACGCGTGTGCGCGCTATCGTAGCGCTCCATCTCTGTGTGTGTGTTACCTGAGTACCGTGACGTAGACGCGCGTGTGTGTGTGCTATCGTAGCGCTCCAGTCTCTGTGTGTGTGTTACCTGAGTACCGTGACGTAGACACGCGTGTGCGCGCTATCGTAGCGCTCCAGTCTCTGTGTGTGTGTGTTACCTGAGTACCGTGACGTAGACACGCGTGTGTGTGCTATCGTAGCGCTCCAGTCTCTGTGTGTGTGTTACCTGAGTACCGTGACGTAGACACGCGTGTGCGTGCTATCGTAGCGCTCCAGTCTCTGTGTGTGTGTGTGTTACCTGAGTACCGTGACGTAGACACGTGTGTGTGTGCTATCGTAGCGGTCCAGTCTCTGTGTGTGTGTTACCTGAGTACCGTGACGTAGACACGCGCGTGTGTGCTATCGTAGCGCTCCAGTCTCTGTGTGTGTGTGATTGTGTTACCTGAGTACCGTGACGTAGACACGCGTGTGTGTGCTATCGTAGCGGTCCAGTCTCTGTGTGTGTGTTACCTGAGTACCGTGACGTAGACACGCGCGTGTGTGTGCTATCGTAGCGCTCCAGTCTCTGTGTGTGTGTGTGTGTTACCTGAGTACCGTGACGTAGACACGCGTGTGTGTGCTATCGTAGCGCTCCAGTCTCTGTGTGTGTGTTACCTGAGTACCGTGACGTAGACACGTGTGTGTGTGCTATCGTAGCGCTCCAGTCTCTGTGTGTGTGTGTGTTACCTGAGTACCGTGAGTGCTATCGTAGCGCTCCAGTCTCTGTGTGTGTGTGTGTGTGTTACCTGAGTACCGTGACGTAGACACGCGTGTGTGTGCTATCGTAGCGGTCCAGTCTCTGTGTGTGTGTTACCTGAGTACCGTGACGTAGACACGCGCGTGTGTGTGTGCTATCGTAGCGCTCCAGTCTCTGTGTGTGTGTGTGTTACCTGAGTACCGTGACGTAGACACGCGTGTGTGTGCTATCGTAGCGCTCCAGTCTCTGTGTGTGTGTTACCTGAGTACCGTGACGTAGACACGTGTGTGTGTGCTATCGTAGCGCTCCAGTCTCTGTGTGTGTGTGTGTGTTACCTGAGTACCGTGACGTAGACACGCGTGTGCGTGCTATCGTAGCGCTCCAGTCTCTGTGTGTGTGCGTAGAGTAGTGATATGAAGGTGTTGAGGACACACACTCCTACAGGCAGCAGCAGAGACCAGGCCTCTGTCAGGACATCCTCTGGACTGGGGGACGCTACCACACACTGGAGGAACACACACACACCGCATGGACGCACACACACACACACACATCGCATGGACGCACACACACAAAAACACACACCACATTCACAGTAAACAAACATATTTACAGAGGTAGTTCCAGGTGACAGTGCAACACATTACACTGTGTGTCTGTGTGAGTGTGTGTGTCTGTGTGAGTGTGTGTGTGTGTGTGTGTATATGAGTGTGCTACTGACCTGCAGGTTGTGTTGACAGAGGTAGTTGACAGCCAAACAGGCACCAGCAGCCAGACAGACAGACAGAAGCCAGACAGCCAGACGGACCAGACAGGCCCTCATCCTGTCTGATACAGACAGCTCTCTCTCCACTCTGCTTTCCCATAGAGACTCCTAGACAAAAACAGCTATTAAGATAGGCACAAGTGTGTGTGTGTGTGTATGTGTGTGTGTGTGTGTGTGTGTGTACGTGTGTGTGTGTGTGTGTGTGTACGTGTGTGTGTGTGTGTGTGTACGTGTGTGTGTGTACGTGTGTACGTGTGTGTGTGTGTGTATGTGTGTGTGTTTCATTCTGTCTGTTCCCCCAGCCCCCCAGGATGCCTTTTGCATGCAATAGCCTACTCAACGGAGCTACAAGGTCAGAGTTAGAGGTTTTCAATACAAATCGACAGTTAGAGGTTTTCAATACAAATCAACAGTTAGAGGTTTCAATACAAATCAACAGTTAGAGGTTTCAATACAAATCGACAGTTAGAGGTTTCAATACAAATCAACAGTTAGAGGTTTTAATACAAATCAACAGTTAGAGGTTTCAATACAAATCAACAGTTAGAGGTTTCAATACAAATCAACAGTTAGAGGTTTCAATACAAATCGACAGTTAGAGGTTTCAATACAAATCAACAGTTAGAGGTTTTAATACAAATCAACAGTTAGAGGTTTTAATACAAATCAACAGTTAAGAGGTTTTAATACAAATCAACAGTAAGAGGTTTCAATACAAATCAACAGTTAGAGGTTTCAATACAAATCTGGCGACTCTTCGCTGTTACTGTCATTAAATCGGCGTCTAGTCAAAAGAAGTGTACTGTATAGGGCAGTGTTTCTCTACTCCAGTCCTCCAGTACCCCCCAACACCACACATTTCTGTTGTGGCCCCGGCCAAGCACACCTGATTCAACTGGTCAACTAATCATCAAGCCCTCAATGAGTTGAATCAGGTGAGTTTGTCCGGGGCCACAACAGAAATGTTGTGCACTAAATAAGGAATAGGGTTCTAGGCCCTGGTGAAAAGTAGTGCACTAAATAAGGAATAGGGTGCCAGGCCTGGTCAAAAGTAGTGCACTAAATAAGGAATAGGGTGCCAGGTCCTATTCAAAAGTAGTGCACTAAATAAGGAATAGGGTGCCAGGTCCTGGTCAAAAGTAGTGCACTAAATAAGGAATAGGGTTCTAGGCCCTGGTGAAAAGTAGTGCACTAAATAAGGAATAGGGTGCCAGGCCTGGTCAAAAGTAGTGCACTAAATAAGGAATAGGGTGCCAGGTCCTATTCAAAAGTAGTGCACTAAATAAGGAATAGGGGTGCCAGGTCCTGGTCAAAAGTAGTGCACTAAATAAGGAATAGGGTTCTAGGCCTGGTGAAAAGTAGTGCACTAAATAAGGAATAGGGTGCCAGGCCTGGTCAAAAGTAGTGCACTAAATAAGGAATAGGGTGCCAGGCCTGGTCAAAAGTAGTGCACTAAATAAGGAATAGGGTGCCATTTGGGATAGATTCTATTAATGTCCTTTTAAAAATATATATATTATTTTGGTTTGAACTCAAGCGTATTTGTCCATGACTGAGTCCTTTTAAAAATACAGTTGAAGTCGGAAGTTTACATACACCTTAGCCAAATACATTTAAACTCAGTTTTTCACAATTCCTGACATTTAATCCTAGTAAAGATTCCTTGTCTTAGGTCAGTTAGGATCACCACTTTATTTTAAGAATGTGAAATGTCAGAATAATAGTAGAGCGAATGATTTATTTCAGCTTTTATTTCTTTCATCACATTCCCAGTGGGTCAGAAGTTTACATACACTCAATTCATATTTGTTAACATTGCCTTTAAATTGTTTAACTTGGGTCAAACGTTTCGGGTAGCCTTCCACAAGCTTCCCACAATAAGTTGGGTGAATTTTGGCCCTTTCCTCCTGACAGATCTGGTGTAACTGAGTCAGGTTTGTAGGCCTCCTTGCTCGCACACGCCTTTTCAGTTCTTCCCACAACTTTTCTATAGGATTGAGGTCAGGGCTTTGTGATGGCCACTCCAATACCTTGACTTTGTTGTCCTTAAGCCATTTTTCCACAACTTTGGAAGTATGCTTGGGGTCATTGTCCATTTGGAAGACCCATTTGCGACCAAGCTTTAACTTCCTGACTGATGTCTTGAGATGTTGCTTCAATATATCCACATAATTTTCCTTCCTCATGATGCCATCTATTTTGTGAAGTGCACCAGTCCCTCCTGCAGCAAAGCACCCCCACAGCATGATGCTGCCACCCCTGTGCTTCACGGTTGGGATGGTGTTCTTCAGCTTGCAAGCACCCCCCTTTTTCCTCCAAACATAACGATGGTCATTAAGGCCAAACAGTTCTATTTTTGTTTCATCAGACCAGAGGACATTTCTCCAAAAAGTACGATCTTTGTCCCCATGTGCAGTTGCAAACCGTAGTCTGGCTTTTTTATGGAGGTTTTGGAGCAGTGGCTTCTTCCTTGCTGAGCGGCCTTTCAGGTTATGTCGATATAGGACTTGTTTTACTGTGGCTATAGATACTTTTGTACCTGTTTCCTCCAGCATCTTCACAAGGTCCTTTGCCATTGTTCTGGGATTGATTTGCACTTTTTGCACCAAAGTACATTCATCTCTAGGAGACAGAACGCGTCTCCTTCCTGAGCGGTATGACGGCTGCGTGGTCCCATGGTGTTTATACTTGCATACTATTGTTTGTACAATGAACGTGGTACCTTCAGGCGTTTGGAAATTGCTCCCAAGGATGAACCAGACCTGTGGAGGTCTACCATTTTTTTTCTGAGGTCTTGGCTGATTTCTTTTGATTTTCCCATGATGTCAAGCAAAGAGGCACTGAGTTTGAAGGTAGGCCTTGAAATACATCCACAGGTACACCTCCAATTGACTCAAATGATGTCAATTAGCCTATCAGAAGCTTCTAAAGCCATGACATCATTTTCTGGAATTTTTCAAGCTGTTTAAAGGCACAGTCAACTTAGTGTATGTAAACTTCTGACCCACTGGACTTGTGATACAGTGAATTATAAGTGAAATTATCTGTCTGTAAACAATTGTTGGAAAAATTACTTGTGTCATGCACAAAGTAGATGTCCTAACCGACTTGCCAAAACTATCGTTTGTTAACAAGACATTTGTGGAGTGGTTGAAAAACGAGTTTGAATGACTCCAACCTAAGTGTACAGTGGGGAAAAAAAGTATTTAGTCAGCCACCAATTGTGCAAGTTCTCCCACTTAAAAAGATGAGAGAGGCCTGTAATTTTCATCATAGGTACACGTCAACCATGACAGACAAAATGAAAAAAAAAAATCCAGAAAATCACATTGTAGGATTTTTAATGAATTTATTTGCAAATTATGGTGGAAAATAACTATTTGGTCAATAACAAAAGTTTCTCAATACTTTGTTATATACCCTTTGTTGGCAATGACACAGGTCAAACGTTTTCTGTAAGTCTTCACAAGGTTTTCACACACTGTTGCTGGTATTTTGGCCCATTCCTCCATGCAGATCTCCTCTAGAGCAGTGATGTTTTGGGGCTGTCGCTGGGCAACACAGACTTTCAACTCCCTCAAAAGATTGTCTATGGGGTTGAGATCTGGAGACTGGCTAGGCCACTCCAGGACCTTGAAATGCTTCTTATGAAGCCACTCCTTCGTTGCCCGGGCGGTGTGTTTGGGATCATTGTCATGCTGAAAGACCCAGCCACATTTCATCTTCAATGCCCTTGCTGATGGTAGGAGGTTTTCACTCAAAATCTCACGATACATGGCCCCATTCATTCTTTCCTTTACACGGATCAGTCGTCCTGGTCCCTTTGCAGAAAAACAGCCCATGCTTCACAGTAGGTATGGTGTTCTTTGGATGCAACTCAGCATTCTTTGTCCTCCAAACACGACGAGTTGAGTTTTTACCAAAAAGTTATATTTTGGTTTCATCTGACCATATGACATTCCCCCAATCCTCTTCTGGATCATCCAAATGCACTCTAGCAAACTTCAGACGGGCCTGGACATGTACTGGCTTAAGCAGGGGGACACGTCTGGCACTGCAGGATTTGAGTCCCTGGCGGCGTAGTGTGTTACTGATGGTAGGCTTTGTTACTTTGGTCCCAGCTCTCTGCAGGTCATTCACTAGGTCCCCCCGTTTGGTTCTGGGATTTTTGCCAGTACACTCTACACACAGGCTGATGTGGCTTTCGCTCAACCTGTTAGACTGCATGTCTGCATGTCATAGTTAGCAACACACACACACACACACACACACACACACACACACACACACACACACACACAGAGTCTTAGCTTCCCAGAAAAAGACTTCCCTGTTCTGTTCTGTTCTGTTCAGTCTGTGGTTGACAGCCTATTCTACTCGAGCGAACGGTGTAAACAGCCGTGACATCGGGTTGATAAGACCACCGCTACGTTATCTACGCATCTATGGAGGAGGCTCACGGTGAGGTCGGAGGTGAAGATTGTGTCGTAGATGACAGGATAATGGCGCTAGCAGCTGTAGTTCTGAGAGGCTACGTTATAGCGAGGTTCAGAGCAGAAGGGATCCAGCTGTCTCCTGAAGAGTTGGGTGGAACACCCAATGAACTACAGGATCATGGGTTAAAAGCGATGGTGGACGGGCTACTGGAGATTACTGAGGAACTGGAGAGAAATGCTGAGTTTCAACACTTAATAAGTCATGTCCAGGTCAATTGTAGCCAGGATTTTTTCATTTCAGTGGCCAATGAGGTATTCAGAGATGGAACCAACTGGGGCAGAGTGGCATCCCTTTATTTCCTGGTCTATATAATAATTCGCAAAGCGCACACACAGAACCAACCCCAAGTCATGGTTAACATTATCAACTGGTCTCTACAGTTCATCAGGGAAAACCTTTACTCTTGGATCAGTCGTCAGGTGGTATGGATAGCGGTCCGAAAGGTGGCGTGGTGGTGTAGCTTGACCCTCCTGGCTTCACTGGCTTGTGCTGCAGCCATAGCATACTGGAGGAAACATCTCTGAACTCTTTACAGGGAGAAGTTCTCCTGCCATAGCATA